ACATACTCTCTTTGCCCTCAATTTTCTTACGTTTGACTCAAATGGGATAAGCCCTGCATATAAGCACTGGGGCTCCTTTCCTTCTCTGGCCCCAGTCCCCCAGGGGGCCACACCCTTTAATTACCAAGGGTAGAGGCTTCACCTGTATTTTCCCATCTGGGTACCAGCAAGAAATGTCAGACCAGCCATTAACATCCAAGTTCCGAAAAAAGGAGAGGAGGAAATCATCGCGACCCCCCCTCCACTGGAGGACACACAAAATAACATGAGTTCATCTTAAAATCCTGACGGATCAAGCTATAAGCATGTCACCCACTGGAGACCGGAGCCCTGGTACTCTTTTCATGCTCATGTGTGCCATTATAGCCTGCAACTCACAGGTGAGTGCTTAACAGGAAAGCATGTGGAAAGAAGGGCCTCTGCCTAACAGCCTAATAACTCAAGGCCCTATGCTGGCCTGCCTGATCAAAGTGGGCATACTTCAAAGCATGGCCCCCAATTGTCACTCACAGACAACTATCTGCAAAGCAGATGGTCTTTGGCGCCACCTAGCGGCAAAACCCTTCAATGAGCAAAATACTCATGCCACTGCAAATAAAAAACACATGAGAGCAATCCACACCCATGTAATCATGATCAGAATGTTGCACATACTTCTCTCTTAAATCTTGCAGAATACATCCCAAGGACAAAACTCAGGACAGCAGGAGTCCCCGGACCGACATCGTCATAAAGCTTACTGTCCCCATGGGCATAACTGCAACTGCCGCTCTCACCTCTCACCGCTCTCCTGCACCTAACGGGAAGGATTACACCCAGCTGGGTGAAAATCACTCATGCTGTTGCTGAGACTTTAACTGGACTTTTCCTTTCTCATGCATCAATGCAGACAAAGGCTCTCTATATGCTATTTTGCATGTATATGCTATTGTGCATTATTCTGTCACCAGCCACAAGTACATACATGGTGGATGGGGCCTCCGTCTCCTGGGATCGTTTTACCTGTTGGTCTAGATGATACTGTCTTGCCTTTTTTGTTTGCCACTATTGTCTCATTCCAAGCCCTGTGACCTCTGACCCAATAGCACAACATCCCTGGAATTTATCACTTTCAGTTAGTCAACATGGACCTTTACCATCCTGAATAATGTCTCAGATGCAAACAAAGTATGTAAACATACAATTTGTTTTCATAATGACATCCTTTGGGAGTCCGGAAGAGGAGGTTTCATGGGCTTTTGGCCCCTTTCCCTGGAAGGGGAAGCAAGAGTGGTCTTTACCAAGGACTTGCTAGCTGGTGTTACCATGCCCACGAACGCTAGGGATTTGCATTCATGACCTCAACCCTTCTTTCAGCGGTGCCCATTGAAAGATTTAAAAATATCAGTGAGAACATACCCTTAAGGGGGATTTCCTGGAGGGATTACCTCCCCCTCTCCCAACCCTATTTCCTCTCTGATGAGCTTATCAGTTGGTCCAGGCCCTACTTAAGAGGAGGATAAAAAATAAAATTCTCATCAAATACAGTACTTCTCAAAAGACATACAGAAATGCTCAAGATACAAAAGAAAAACTGTCAGGAGAGTTTTTACAATTAGGCAAACAATTATTATGTGGTACTTACAAATGTAAAGATGTCAGCCCTATTGTCACCATGGATGCCATTTGAAAATCCCTCAGCTACCTATGCTACTCGAGGTCATGTGTGTGTTAAGCCATCTTTCTTCTTTGTAACCTCCACTCAAAGTCACAAAAATGGTTGTGTTAATTGTAATAATTCCCTCTGTGAGTTGACCAATTGTTGGAACTCCTCCATTAAGACAGCAGTGCTAATGAGAATATCCCGAATGCTGGGGTTCCCAACGGAGGATGAGTCCTCCATTCAAGAGGTTCATTTTACAAAAGATATTTCCCTTTCCAGAGTTAGGCGAGATTTTGGCGTTACCACTGCTATTATTGCTGCCTCCCTTGTCGAAGTTACAGCTGCTACCACCACTGGTATAGCTTTGACCCAATCCACAACAGATGCTACAGCCATTAATCAAGTAGTGCAGCTCTCCACCAGGGCCCTGACCACCCAGGAGCGACTAAACCTGCACTTGCAAGGAGGTATCTTAATGTTACAACAACAGTTTGACCTTACTGATGAAAAAATTTATATGCCTCAATTAAATGTCAGATTACCTTGCAGTCCTCAATTTCTGTATGTTTGCCAAACTCCTGTTTCAGTAAAAAATGTAACAGAAGATCAGCTTGAGCTAGCAAATAGACTTAAGGGACCTTGGGATATGGCTTTCAGAAATTTCACTATGACACTGCATTCCCAGATTCTCAGCCTAAACGAAACCAGAGCAAATCTAATTCTTAACCCCTCATTTCTACAGCGGCTATGGGATAAACTGTCAGCTTTAATTCACTCTGCTAATTGGATCCTTGCTGACATTGGCATTGCTCTTCTTGTTTTAATGTATGTTCTTTTAAGGTGCTTCCAAGAAAGGCTCAACAAAATAGAAACTAAACAAGCTATGATAGCTTATGCATGTAAGGAAAGTCAAAAAGAGAATAAGGAGTCTCCTTCAGCTGTGTGGATGGCAGCTATGATTGGATCTAAGTAGATACCAACTAAGGGCCAATTTTCTATGGGGGATTAGGTCCAAAGTCTTGCCACAGTTCTCCCTCTTTGTCTGTGTCTCTCAGCTTTGTCCCAATATCCCTTCTTTTTTCTCACCTGATTACTGTTTGCTGGTTCTGTGGTTCTATAGTTCTCCTTCCTTCCTGAACACAGCCTTTTCTAGAATCTCCCTACCCTATTGTTCCAGGAAGGACACCTCCTCATTTCTAATTTGACTGGGAGGGATCTTGTATATTCTCTATCCATGGGGTTACCTTGGGCTAAGAAAGTCCTCCCTAACTGGACTTACTGCTGAGATGGGCCTTTCTCCTCTTTGTCCTTGGATGACCTCTCTTGTATTATACCAAGAGGGACACTATTCTCACAAGCCATTTGTTCAAGGCTGCAGCCTGGACTTTCCTGCCCATGCTGAGGTTGAAGCTTCCTGGAGGCTGGTACCATGACATATGTCTCTCTTACCCAGTGCTGTGAGCTGGGCCCTCCCTGGAGAAGAAACCTGGGTTTCCCCAAACCTGTGACCAGAGCCAGGGCCCCGCCAGCAGGTGAGGGGATCCTAAGGCAGATGCTAGGCATGGAGGCCATGGGGACATTGGCTACCAAGGAGATAGAGAACTGATCCTCTCAAGGGCAATGCCTTTCCCTCACTCACACACCTCACATCACCCTGTTTGGCCTTGGATAATGGCTGGTTAGTCAGAAACGGGTAAGATTCCTCAGGGAAGGAATAACCTAAGACAGGCACAGTTGCAGAGGGGCCATCAGGACAGAACTTGGGGGCCAACAGAGGTGGGGCACAGACCCTCACCCCCCCAACTTTGCAGGGGCCTGAACTGTCACCCCTTCTGAGGGAGTCCTCCTGCCCCCATGGCTGCTTTGCTTCCCACGCCCAGCTCATATCAGGACCCAGGTAGCAGTCAGAGACCTGCCAATAGCAGCTGTCCACCCTCCACAGCAGGATTTACTTTCTAATTTTATGTTAGACCACAGGGAAAGGGCAGCTGAAGGAAAGGGCTGTTAGAATGTTTTTGTTTTCCCCCTTCTCTTCTGCATGCCTCTTTGTCTGTAGTTTTTTCCCTTTTTCTTTGCTTTTCTCTTTCCTTTCCTTCTCTTCTCACGGTTCTCCTTTGGCTACAAATTTAATAAAAAGGGAGGAAATGTGGGAGTAACTTTAGATTTGCAACTCACAACTACGAGCAGCTCCAAGTGCTAGGAAAACCTATGCTCCTACAGGCCTGACAGGAACACCTGCAGGATGGGGTGCTCTGCTCTAGCGAGCCTCTGAGAAACCACATCCTCAGTGATTGAGGTCAGCATTGCCAGTAACAGAGAGACAAGGGCCTCAGGGCATGATTCCCCCAACTCATAACGCCCTCTTTTCATAGGGACAATAATCCTACCAGTCTGCTTTCCACCTTGTAGCAATATTTAGAGCTTCCTCATAGTGCAGTATTAATCCTAACTAAGATGCTTGGTTTCTAAATGTTATATACCTTGTTTGCTTATGTATAACTGGAGAATGCGTCCATCAATTGTAATCACTTCTGCATTAAACGAGCTTGCAAGAGCTTGCAGGAGGTCGACTGGAGGTCTGTCACCTGCCTGCTCTCAGCAGCTCCAGGTGTCTTGTGTTTTGACTCTGCATCCCCCACACCCACCTCGATTGAGTGTAGCCAAGGGACCCACAGCAACAGAATGTCATTGGGATTTTGATTGGAATTGTATTAAATCTGTATAATGCTTTTGGTAGTATGGTCATTTTGATAATATTAATTCTGCCCATCCAAGAACAAGGGAGATCTTTCTATCTTCTAAGGTCTTCTTTAATTTCTTTCTTTAGTGTTCTGTAGTTTTCATTGTAGAGGTATTTCACCTCTTTTGTTAGGTTGATTCCTAAGTTTTTTTTTTTTTTGAGGCCATTGTAAATGGGGTAGTTTCCCCTTCAGAGGATTTGTCACTGATATACAGAAATGCCTTTGATTTATGGGTGTTGATTTTGTATCCTGCTACTTTGCTGAATTCATTTACTAGTTCTAGAAGTTTTCTGGTGGAATTTTTTGGGTCTTCTAGGTATAGAATCACATGGATGGTAAATCGTGCTAATTTGAGTTCTTCTTTTCCTATGTGTATCCCTTTAATTTCTTTCATCTGTCTAATTGCTCTGGCCAGTGTTTCAAGACCTATGTTAAATAGAAGTGATGAAAAAGGGCATCCCTGTCTTTTTCCAGTTTTTAGAAGGAATGTTTTCAATTTTAATTCCATATTCTTTTAAGAGGTTTGCTTAAGCATTAGGATTAGGCCACATATATCTATGATTCAAAACAGGTTCTTGCAAGGCCAAATTGTTTTACAAATGAAAAATTTGACTTACCTTATTATGTAAAGTACTGGGAAAAATGGTCTTTGCTCTCTAAGCCAGGAGATAAAAGCTACTGTTCTGGCAGATTCTGGTGTATCAAGTTCTGGAAGGTCTGTCTGTTAAATAAAACCAATGTACTCTAATTATATATTTAATGTATGGTCTATAGTGCTCCTCAAATTTTAATGTTGCTGGGTTGGTGGCACACATCTATAATACTAGCTATTTAGGGAGTATGAAGTGGGAGAGGATCTCAAGTTTAAGACCAGCCTGAGCAATTTAATGAAGTCTAGTCTAATTAAAAAAGAGGTGGGGGCTAGGGATATAGCTCAATGGTACAGCACTTGCCCAACATGTGTTCAATTCTCAGTATCAGGAAACAAAACAAATAACAACCACGTTTATTAAGTACCTGGTGATTTTGTTGCACCAGACACTAAATACTCAGAGCTTGGAGTTCATTTTGTTTCTGTTGCTGTTATACTAACGCAGATAAGAGGCAACACATAGGTGGATGGGCATGGCTATGTTCCAATAAAACCTTAATTACAAAAACAGGTGCAGACCTCCTTAGGTATATTTTGCTTAACTCTTCTCTTCATTTTATTATGATATTTAGAATTAATTGGTTCATTCAGATGGTTATTACAAAGATCACGATTCTTTATTGCTTCATTACTTAAAGTACCTGGTCATCTAGTCCAGTAGTTTTGCTCCGGGCCTGAAAGCTACTGCTAATCCTGGCTATAATCTTTTTTTGGGGGAAGGGAGTACTGAGGATTGAATCAGGGGTACTTTACCATTGAGCTATATTCCCAGCCGTTTGTTTTTTATTTTGAGACAGAGTCTCTGTAAGTTGCTTGAAATTGAGATCCTCCTGCCTCAGCTTCCCAAGTCACTAGGATTTACAGGCATGTAACACCACACCCGGCCCCTAGCTATAATCTTGACATAAATCTTTTTTTAAATGTATGAAACCCCTAATGACATCTATGAACAGTCATAGAACCCTGATATATAAAAGTTGGATACAAACTGGCAGTAGGGACTGAAAAATGACACTATATGAGATGATCTATTATTATTTTTTAATAGTTTTTTAAAGATAACATTTATTTTATTTCTTAGTTTTAGGTAGACACAGTATCTTTATTTTACGTTTATGTGGTTCTGAGGATTGAACCCAGTGCCTCATGCATGCTAGGCGAGCACTCTACCACTCTACCACAACCTCAATAGTTTTTTTTTTTTTTTTAATATTTATTTTTTAGTTGTAGTTGGATACAATACCCTCATTTCACTTATTCATTTTTATGTGGTGCTGAGAATTGAACCCAGGGTCTTGCACGTGCAAGACGAGAGCTCCACTGCTGAGCCACAACCCCAGCCCCCCCGAAATGATCTATTATTAATTCTAACTTTATAATTCAAAACTATCCATTTTACAAGTGATTTATCAAGGGTTATTTCAATCATTCCTCCATAAGCAAAAGCATTCTAATTTTTTTCCCCATGGTACTGGGGATTTAACCCAGTGGCACTCTACTGATGAGCTACAAACTATATCCTCAACTCTTTTTAATTTTTAAATTTTGAGACAGTGTTTCTGTTGAATTGCTGAGGCTGGCCTCAAACTTGTGATCCTCTTGCCTCAACCTCCTGAGTTGCTGGGATTACAGACATGCACCACCATGCCTGACTAAGAGCATTCTTATTTTACAAATCTGATTACTGAGTGACTTGTCCAAAAACACACAATTAGTGACAGACAAGAGTCCCATTATTACTTTTTTCAATAATTAACATTAATTCAACCAACAATGACCACCTATTATTTGTTATGTAAACCAGTACAGCAAATTAGTTTAATTCTGTCTCCAAAGCAGCAGCTTAAAAGATCTTGCCAAAAATAAGAAATCACTTGTCAAAACCAAAAATGTCACAATGCATTAATGCCATTTGCAGCAAATCCTTTTTTGATTATTAACTAAATACAATGCTTTCTCCTCAAAATAGAATACTGTGTTAAACACATAAGAATAGACAAATCAATAATGCAAAGCGACAAAGAATGCCATTAAAACATAGGCATGGTGGTGCACGCCTGTAATCCCAGCTACTTGGGAGACCAAGGCAGGAGGATGTCTTAAGCTCACGATTTCAAGGCCAGCCTTGGAAACAGAGCAAGACCTAGTCTCAAAATACAAACAAACAAGACAAAAATGTAAAATGAGAGCATTTTCAGTTTGAAAGAAACATAATGTGGGTTTATTTTCTCATTTGGAGAAATATACAATATGAATTTCTGATTTCAAAATAGAATACTCATATTTTTGTCACATGTGAAGCATCCTTTAAGTCATCTATAATCACTAAAATAAAAGCATCTTACCATAGTCTGTGGAATTGATGCATAGTTTTGAACTCCTAAAACTTGGGTGAGAAAATTTTGTGCACAATTTTTTCCAACCCAAAGCATCAGTACCTGTGAAAGGAATAAAATTATTTTGAGAGGTAGCCTAATAGTTTATTCACTCACCTTTACCACTACCACCTAGTATGCTTTAAAAGATCTAAAGGATGAGTATATTTACAGTGTACAGCCTGTAACTGAACTAATAACAATTCAGTATTTACTGGGATGAGACATTTCATGCATGGCATGAAACAGAGGCTGTGAAGGTAGCAAATGGCCAACAGGAATATGTAGGTTAAAGAGTACGTCATCTGTTCAAGAAGAGAAATATTAAGAGGAATGAAGCCAAATGCTAAAAAAGATACACTAGTTAGAGGAAGAAGGGTCAAGAGTTGTCAAACTACTCACAGAGCCTGCATCCATGAGGAAAGCCCCATCTCTACTCAGCTTCTCCACAGAGAGTTGAAGGATAGGAGGCTGAGGTATGGTTCTATCATTGATGTTGAGTGCTCCCTGGGGAATTAAACAAAAGATTAAGGCTTTCAGGTACAGAAAATACAGTCACAATTAACAACAAAAAGGAACATTACCTCCAAGAGTATGGGCCTTACTAGGCAAATTATAGTTATTCACAACTAAATATGAAGATAATAAAGAAATATTTACCACTTATCTAAACAAAGCCACTGTGAATCCCAAGAAAGCCAAATTAACTTTTTTTTTCGATAATGGGGTTGAATTCAGGAGTACTTGACCACTGAGTCACAACCCCAGCCCTATTTTGTATTTTATTTAGAGACAGAATCTCACTGAGTTGCTTAGTGCCTTGAAGTTGCTGAGGTTGGCTTTGAACTTGTGATTCTCCTGTCTCAGCCTCTCAAGCCACTGGGATTATAGGCGTGTGCCATCGCGCCCAACTCCAAATTAACTTATTAATTTTTTGGTACTGGTGATTTAAAGCAGGAGTATTTAACTATGGAGCTACATCTCCAGCCCTTTTTATTATTTTTTAAGACAGGTTCTCTCTATTGCTTAGACCCTCACTAAGTTGCTGAGGCTGATCTCAAACTTGTGATTCCCCTGCCTCAAACTCCCTGAATTGCTGGGATGGTAGTTGGATGACAATGTACCCAGCCAAAATTAAACTCTGATCTTAACTAGCTTTAAAAACAAATGTGACAATGGGCTGCGGTTGTGTCTCAGTGGTAGAGTGCTTGCCTAGCATGCATGAGGCACTGGGTTCAATCCTCAGCAGCACATAAAGTAAAATAAAGATATTGTGTCCACCAAAAACTAAAACCATTGAGTTACATCTCCAACTCCTAAATATGCTTAATTATGATAAAGATTATGATAATAACAATGCTAATAATGGTGGAGGTAGTGATATAATAGTTATGATCTATATGGTGCCTATGGCCAGGCACTGTTCTAAGTGATTTACATATACTAATTCATTTAATGTTCAAAAGCACAAATACATCAGAATTCAAAATTAAGTACAGCAAACAAAATTAAGTGTGGAAAATAAGGACAGGAAGAAAGTATACTTGTAAAGGACATTATTACTCTGTGCTTTTGCTTTCAGCATCACTCCCATCTTGCACTCCCTGTTGTTTGAGAGACCTGTTCTTTTCACTTTAGTGATGAGGCTTTTAGCTCAATACTAGTAACACAGTACTTTGAAATTTCTGGCCTTGGGAAAAGTGGGGAGCAGAAGAGACTATAACCCTGATACACCCACTGAGAAATTTCCCCCAGAGATTTTCACATGTGAACTAAGAAAATGGAGCTTTGTCTTTTTCAGATGGTGAGGAAAGGAAGTTGCTCTGTTTTCTAGTCTATATAGAGAAGGCTGATCAGAAACTATGAAACTAATGCAGAGTCTTTAAATCTTAAAGTCTAATAGATTCTCTCTAGTGGTATCCATATTATAGACATAATAAATTACATTCGATATTTTTGTTAATTTGTCATGATGTTATATTTTAATGTGAAAAGAAGGTAAAGCCTACTTAATTAAACACACTTAACTGAACTTAATCCAATAGGATTAATCTACAGTTATATATACATATATTTATTTTTGTAATATAAATTAATAATGTTCACAAGAGTTTTCATTTGCAAAAACAAAACAAAAACCTCACATTTCACAATTTAAGTTATCTAAAATTCTTTATATTTAAAAAAAAAACACTATTTTCAACATACAATATCTAAACTTGATCACAATTTTAGAAAGATTATGACTTCATGCTTATGACTTCAACTCCAATAAATTTTCTATCAAAAGCCAAAAATATTACAACTTGGATAAATATTTTTTCTTTAATTCAAGAACACTGTTACACTGAACATTGACCTAGGGTGTTCAGGTATAATCTCATGCTCAAGATACAGATCAATTTGTTTAAATAAATAAGTAGGTTTCTCTGGTCAATTTGATAATCTCATACTTTCTTAGATCTGCTCTAGAGATTTGTCTTTGGAAACAGATTGACACTATTTTCCAGAGCTTCCCTAAACTGAACATTTTTTTAGTTTGTTATTTATTTATTTTTTGGTACCACGGATTGAACCCAGGGGCATTTAACCACTGAGCCCATCCCCAGCTTTTAATTTTGAGACAGGGTCTTGCTAAGTTGCTGAGGCTGATCTCAAACTTGAACTCCTCTTGCCTCAGCTTCCCAAGTCACTGGGATTACAGGCATGTGCAACAGTACCTGGCTCTAAAATTTCTTTACATAAACCTAGCAAGCAATATAAACAAAGAATTTTAATAACAAATCCTTCCGTAATTCTGTACTAGACTAAATATGACATTGAGCTTATAAACCTTCAAGGAAAAGCCACTAAAAAAGGAAATTGATCTTACCTCATCAGAGAGATTGTCAACTCTATACAAACTGGGATGTGTTGTAAGCATAAGGTAAACCAAGGGCTGATTTTTCACTTGACACATAGCAAAGATGCGTTCATCTAGACGAGCATTTGTCCCAGTCTGGAATGATTTCTATAACAAAAAGCAAAACAAAATATAGAACTTTGTAAATGTTAGTTGTAAAAAGATTATCTTCTGACAGAATTGGAAGATTTAGTGTAAATTATTTTAAAAATAATATTTAAAAAATATTAAAATATTTTTAAAATCTTTTTTTAAATTTATTTTTTGGTGTAGATGGACACAACACAATGGATTTATTTTTATGTGGTGCTGAGAATCAAACCTGGGTCCTAACGCTCATGCTAGGCGAGCACTCTACCGCTGAGCCACAATCCCAGTCCTTAAAAAATCTTAAAAAAATATTTTTTAAAAAGTCACACACTTCTTAAAATTATATATATATATATATATATATATATATATATATATATATATATATATAAATTAAATAGTGTATTAAATGGTGACCATAGGTTTATTTAAATGTCTTAAGAAATTAACAAACCATGGCAAAGTTCTTTGATCTCCTTGGTGTCTGTTTCCTAATCAATAAAATAGGGTCATCTCTTTTACTCCTTTCCATCAAAACCCCATTATTCTCTATGAAGCTAATTAATGTGCTCAACATTTACTGAAAGAAATGGCAGCTACACTCTATATGCCATATAGAGAAAGTGACATAATGATTAACACCACAGGAAGGATGACACTACACTACAGATAAAATAAAGGCACATATCAAGGACCAATGACACCCATTAAGTGCTCTATAAATGCTGGGTGATAATTGACGATGGCTATCATTGTTTCTTCCACTGTTAGAGAAATAAGCAATGTACCAAAGCTTAAAAATCAATGATGGGGCTGGGGATGTAGCTCAAGCGGTAGTGCGCTTGCCTGGCATGCGAGAGGCACTGGGTTCGAACCTCAGCACCACATACAAATAAAAAATAAAGATGCTGTGTCCACCAAAAACTAAAAAATAAATATTAAAAAAAAAAAAACAACAAAAAAAAACAATGACGATGGTAATACAAATGAGGACAACTGCTTAGTAGAACAGCATTATAGTGAGAGCTGGGGATGTGGCTCAGGTGGTAGCGTGCTCGCCTGGCATGCCTGCGGCCCGGGTTCGATCCTCAGCACCACATACAAACAAAGATGTTGTGTCTGCCGAAAACTGAAAAATAAATATTTAAAAATTCTCTCTCTCTCTCTCTCTTAAAAAAAAAAAAAAAAAAAAAAAGAATAGCATTACAGTGAGATTTAACTGGTGATTGAGCTTTGTGGGGAATAATGAAGTTTTGAGGTAAGGTTTTTAAAAAGTTCCAGTTGATCGAAAGGAGTAAAAAAGAGACAGAGGGAAACAACAATGAAATTATGCTTTGAAACAAATGAACTTACTACAAATAAAAGATGATGTTATGGTTTAGATGTGAGGTGGCACCCAAAAGCTCATATATGAGAAAATGCAAGAAAGTCTAGATGTGAAATGATTGGGTTATGAAAGCCTTAATGTAATCATGAATTAATCTTCTGATAGGGATTAAATGGTAACTATTGGCAGGTAGGGTATGGTTGGAGGAGGTGGGTCCCTGGGGGCATGCCTTTAGGGTATATATTTTGTCCTTGTTGAACAAAACTCTCTGCTTCCAGTTGCTATGTTCCCAGCTGCTGTGCTCTGCCACACACTTCCACCATGATGTCTGCCTCACATCAGGACCCAAGGAATGGAGTCAACCATCTATAGACTGAGACCTATGAAACCATGAGCCCCAAAATAAACTTTTCCTCCTTAAAACTGTTACTATTAGGTGTTTGGTTCAAAAGTCATTCCAATTAAGGAGTAGTAGGTTCCCTATCTCACCTGGAAGAAATTATATATACCAGACAGGCAGATCTTTTTTCTTTTTTTCTTTTGGTACAAAGGATTTAACCTACTAGGAGCACTTAACAAGTGAGCCACATCCCTGGCCCTTTTAATTTTCTATTTTGAGACAGGGTCTCACTAAGTTGCTAAGACTAGCCTCAAACTTATGATCCTCTTAACTCAACCCCCTACAACTGTTAGAATTACAGGCATACACCACCATACCAGGATACAGGTAGACCTAGAGAAGTGAAAAAGTACAGAAATTAATAAGATCCAGAGCAGTCTTTGATCAGTGCTTTTAATAAAAAGCATTAACACGAAGCTAGGTTTTTATTTATTTTGGTATTGGGGATAGAACTCAGGGGCACTTTACCACTGAGTTACATCCAAGTCCTTCTCTTTTGAGGTTGAACAGGGTCTTCCTAAATTGCTGAGGATGTCTTCAAATTTGTTATCCTGTGCCTGGCTTAACATGAGCTTTTAAATAAAAATTTATAAGACCTGGGATTGGTAGCACATGCCTGTAATCCCTGAAACCTGGGGAGCCGAGGCAGGAGGATCACAAGTTTAAGGCCAGCCTTAGCAACTTAGTGATACTCTGTCTCAAAATAAAAAGAGCTGGGTATGTAGCTCAGTGGTAAAACATCCCTAGGTTTAATCTCCAGAACCTAAATAAATAAATAAAATAAAATAAAAGTAAAAATCTATAAGGGAAGTTTACTTAAAGTATAATTCTGGACATGGGACAAATAAGCCTATTCCACCAGCCTAGAGTTCTTTCTCTTGGGGGAGGTAAAGAAGGTACAAAGAACAAGCAGGGGAGACATAAATAATGAGTCAAATGAAAAATCCTATAAATAAAGCTATAAAAAGTGCCTCAGGGGGCTGGAGTTGTAGCTCAGTAGTAAAGCACTTGCCTAGCACATGTGAGGCACTGGGTTCGATTCTCAGCACCACATAAAAACATAAGTAAATAAAAAATAAAGATACAGTGTCCACCTATAACTTAAAAAAAAAAAGGCTACAGGATCACAAAAGGAAAGGCAACTGGGCGTGTGGCTCAGTGGTTAAGCAATCCTGGGTTTAATAACTAGTACCAAAAAGAAAACTCAACACCTAACTCCTGTGTTAATGCAGGAATATTCAGAGATTAAATGATTAGACCATAAAAGCTAGAACCTAATAGGTTCATCCTTATTTTAATGGACTAAGTGGGTGGTAACTGCAGTAGATGGGGTGTGGCTGGAGGAGGTATGTCACTGGGTATGTCCTAGAAGAGTTTTCCCAGCAGCCCTTTCCCCTTGGACTGGCTGCCATGTGGTAATCCTCTGCCATCCCCTTTTGAGGTGATGTTCTGCCTCACTTTGGGCCCAGAGCAATAAAGTTGGCCCAACAGAGACTGAACCTTTGAAACCATAAGCCAAAATAAGCTTTTTCTCCTCTAAATTGTTTTTGTTGTATACTTGGGTCATAAGGACAAAAAGCTGACTAATACACAATAATCCATGATCTTGAATACTTTTTCCCCCCCAGTACCTGGAATTAATCCATGAGTGTTCTACCTCTGAGCTACATCTCTAGCAGTGTTTTGAGACAGGTTCTTGCTAAACTGCTCAGGCTGGCCTCAAATGCACGATCCTCCTGCCTCAGCCTCCCAAGTCTCTGGGATTACAGGCATATATCACCCCATCTGGTTCATATCCAACACCTATCATGTGCTTATTATTCCTCCAGTCTAACTTTGACCAATATTTCCCCATCCCCTTCACCCCCCAGTCTCTGATAACCACCATTCTGTTTTCTGTTTTTGTTTGTTTTTTTAGGTTCCAGGTATAAGTGAGAACATGGAGTACATATGTGTCTTCTTGTGCTAGAAATAAAATATACGATTCATGTTTTGGAAAACTGAATTTTTTATAACATTTTAATGTTTAGTATCTCTTATGCTCAAGGCACTTGCTTTAAATCAATTATTCTTAAATTTCTTTGGCTGTAAATCTTTTCAAGTTTCAAATAAGAGGTCAGGTCTCTATCCTCAGAAAATTTAACTGACATAAAGTTAAATAATGTTTAGTGTTTCACATAATAAAAATTTTGGCTTTTGTCATTTTCATTGTGCTAGTTTCTGGTTTTTGTTTTTCTTACCTGTTTAAGGAGAGCCAATACAAAAAGTGGAAAAAGTCTCAAAGAGAAAGGAACCATGAGTCCAGGCTGCTGGTTACTTAAGACTGAAGATCGGTAAGCTGCAAGAGAGTCAATGACGGCATTCACTAGAGCATCTCGGGCGTCACTCAGACTGGAAGTCATGGACCTGTCAACAGCTAATAGAGGTAAGGACAGGGACAAGAAACAAGACAAAATTTAACAACTGCACTGTAAGCATAGATGAGGTAACTTTTTAAACTATATTGAGCCTCTCTCTGATTTATTATAAACATAATGAGCCAAAATTTACAGATAAAAGTATGCTCTGGAGAATCAAACTAACCTCTTTTGAAATTTCTTTTTAGTTGTAGTTGGACACAGTATCTTTATTCCACTTCGAACCCAGGGTCTTGCATGTGCAAGGCAAGCACTCTACTGCTGAGCCACAACCCCAGCCCTGATCTGCCGTTTTCTTAGCTGTATGCCAGTTTGACAAGTAACTCAACCCTCCTGAGCCTACATTCCTTTCTTCGTAAAATGGAAAAACTACTTACTATTAAATTGATTAAGCCACCATTTTAGTTTATACCACTGAGAAAGGGAAAAACCCTGAAATTAAATAGAAAAGGGAGGCTGCTTTTCTGTCACATGGAGTTTTTATTTTAGAAAATTATTTAGACAAATTTTCATCATCAGTTATGTCATTGTTTTGTTTTTTGGTACCAGGGATTGAACCCAGGGGTGCTTAACCACTCACCGAGTCACATCCCGGCCCTTTTTCATATTTCATTTAGAGACAGGGTCTCAGTGAGTTGCTTAGTGCCTCACTAAGTTGCTGAGGCTGGCTTTGAACTCAGGATCCTCCTGCCTCAGCCTCCTAGCCATGGGGATCACAGGCGTGCGCTACCATGCCCAGCAATTATGCCACTGTCTATACATGTTTCTGTATACCAAAAACATTTTTTTTCTTAATACTAAAAATAATGTAATTGTTTTGAAGACTCCTCAACCTGCAACTAAAATCAATCCATGTGGTATCAAAAACACATTTAATGATGTTATTAAATGCTATGACCAAAATTTACATGTAGGTTGGAAACAAAAATATTATTATCAAAAGCAACTCTTAACACTTCATCAACTCAAGATAAACTCTGATTTGAAAGATGACAAAACATGAAAAAATGTGCATACCTGGCTCAACCAAATATGGTAGCAGAACTAATATATACAAAAGGTATTGTGAAGCTTAATGGGTATGAGGTCCTGGGTTTTAATCCCTAGCACCACACACAAAGAAAAGAAAAAAAAAAAACTATCGTGAAGATTTCTTTTTAAATCCATAAATATTGCCTGATACTTATTACTGTTATAATAATAATGATCATACTGTTATTTTAAGGTAGTCTTGCTAAATTGCTGAGGCTGGCTTTGAACTTGTGATCTTCCTGCCTCAGCCTCCCAAACCACCAGGATTCAGGCATGCAGTGCCACGCCCACTGTTTGTATTTTGTAGTACTGGGGATTAAACTTCATGAGAGAACATAGTCAACAATGAGCTATTTTTAAATTTTAAGATAGGGTCTTGCTAAATTGCCCAAGCTGGCCTGGAACTTGCAATCCTTATGCTCAGCTACACAAGTCTTGGGATTACAGGCATCTGCCACCATGTCCACCCCATGATCTTCAAATTTTGATAACATAATAAGACTAAAGTAAGGACTGGATCCTCTATCAGGCTCGATGAAAGAAAATATTCCCAGCAGGAAATTCAGAAAACAGTAACTATTCCTGTTATAAAGTAGATTTAAATTTGAAGTAAATGGGCCCTGTGAAAGTCTTTCCTGAAGGAGAAAGGTGGCAAGAATCAAACTGGTATTAAACTCTGTATGTCTGAAAAGGGGAAAAAAATATCAAGAAGGAGACTAGGGGTATGGCTCAGTGGCAGAGCACTTCCCTAGCAAGGGCCTGGGTTCAATTCCAAGTACCACCAAAAAATAAAAAAAAGACCACCAACCACCACCAAAAAACCACCTTATTAAGCACTAATTTTTCATTATTTTATTGCTTCTTTTTAAATGTATGACCATAGAATCCATTTTGATATGATTATACAAGCATGGAATATATCTTATTCTAATCAGGACCCCATTTTTTGTGGATATACATGGTGGTGAGAACACCATGGTGTATTCATATATGTATATAAAAAAATTATGTCAGATTCATCTCACTATCTTTTTTTTTCCTATCCCTTCTCCCTTCCCTTCATTTCTATTTATCTAATCTACTGAAGTTCTATTCTACTCCCACCCCTTATTGTGGGTTAGCTTCTACACATCAATAAAAACATTTGACCTTTGGGTTTTGGGGACTGGCTTATTTCACTTAGCATGATAGTCTCCGGGTCTATCCATTTACTGGCAAATGTCATAAAGTCATTCTTCTTAATAGCTAAGTAACACTCCATTGTGTATATATATATATACACACGACAGTTTGTTAAGCATTAATATTAACTATTCTGTTAGATATAGTTATTTTAGTTCAAAGGACATAAATATAAATAGAAAATAGTTTAGTGGTTGCTTAAGGTCAGTGAGAGATAGAGGAAGGAGTGGGCACTAACTGCTAATGGGCATGAGATTCTTTCTGGGTGATTAAAATGTTCTGAAATTAGATTGTGATGATGACTTTATAACTGTAAATTTTCTAAAAATAATGGAATTGTAAACTGCAATGGGTGAAATCATAGCAGCAGATCTTTTCAATGAAATAGTTACAATCACCCAAACATTGAAACCTGTAAAGTTAGTTACATAAAAGAAAACAAAATTAGGTGGATTTGCCGAATGGTATTACTTGCAAAATATTTACAAGTGATAACAACTCTTACCCATATTGGCCAATAACCCCAAAATTGCTTGAACATCAGCTCCAAGAAAGATTTCATTTAGAGTTGAAACTACTGGCAAACACAAAGTATGGACACGAATTCTTCTTTCACCTTTGGGAAAACACACAATAGTAAGGCACAACTATATACAAAAAAGATTATGTTAAACTCATTTCAACTTAACCAAGTAGGATTATAGGAAGCAGAGACCTATAAAAATTTTAGTTGGTGAAAATCAAAGCTTTTTTTCAACTATAAATTTTTTTTGTTCATATTATTACAAAATAGATAACAGGGATTGTATTTAAATGATAGTATGCTAGGGGTTTTTTTAATTTTTAAAAATTTTAATTTGTTATAAGTATGCTAGGTTTTTATAAATCTCCTTTCTAAATTTTCTGGTTACTTCTTTTGCAATAAAATTTCTGAGTTAATATATATAAGACATCACTACTCTTGCTTGTTTTATAGCCTATTTTTTGACACTTTAGCCTATTTTTGACATTTAAAGTTTAGAAAAACTTTATACTTCTTAATCACAGAAAGAAATTTTTGTATGTAAGTTGTATATGAAATATAAATTTTGTTAAGGCTTGGATCCTATTTCCAAGATATTTCATTATGTATATGCAAATATATCCACATTTGAAAAAAATTCTAAATCAAAACCACTTCTAGTCCTAAGCATTTCAGATAAGAGATGCTCAACCTATATATGATTCCATTTTTTGACACTCCTGCAAGACAAAACTCTCAGTGGTTACCAGAGGCTGGGGATAGGAGAGAGAGAATGGTTACAAAAGCAAAGGGTGATGCTGGGAATGATGGAACCAATTATGTCTTTATTATGGTGATAGTCACATGACACATTTGTCAAAACTTGCGAATTTTACATTCAAAATGGTTCATTCAACTGAACTAGTGGTGCACACATGTAATTTCAGCTACTTGTGAAGCTAAGGCAGAATCATGAGTTTGAGTCTAGCCTGGGTAACTTAGTGAGACCCAAAGAGTTTAATACCAGTTTGAATCTTGTCACCTTTCTCCTTCAGGATCTCACTAAGTTGCACAGGCTAGACTCAAAATAAAATTAAAAAGGGCCAGTGATGTAGCTCACAGGTAGAACACTTGCCTAGCATACTTGAGGCCCTGGGTTCAATCCCCAGCACTGCAAACAAATAAGTGACATCAACACAAACCAACCAAAAACAAAAGAAAAAGGTGCATTCAGTTGGGGAGTAATTCAGGAACAGGGTATGTGCTTAGCATGCACAAAAGCCATGGGTTTGATCCTGGGTACCTCCGAAAAAATAAAACAAAATAAAAATAATTGTCTTTTACCATATATCAATTATAAATTTTTACAATGAACAGAAAAGGGACTGAGCTGGGTTTTTTATCAAATAAAAAATGGTACCTAGAGACAGAAATCCATCTTACTTTACATTTATAGTGTGTCATATTAATTATAATCATACAGAACATTCCTCTTAAAGGTTTTTATTAAAGTGTCCTTACTTCATACTTTCCATAAATTTTGGAGGGGCTATAAAGATTGAATACATATAACATAGAAAGTCTCCTCCAAAATTAAGGAGAGTGTTAACAGAGGTTAGGAGTAAAAAATCTTTAAAATAAAAAAGCAAATTAACATGCCCCACATCAGATTAGGTTAAAACACAAATTACAAATTAATTAGGAACAAATAAATCACAACTTAAAAAGTGTTTTCTGATGGTCAGGTGTCATAGTATGTACCTGTAATGCCAGCTAGTTGTGAGGCTGAGGTGGAAGGATTACTTGAGCCCAGAAGTTTGAGGCCAACTTGGGAAATATAGCAAGACCCCATCTCAAAAGAAAAAAAAGCCAAGTGTGGTGATGCACAACTGTAATCCCAGTGACAGGAGGATCACAAATTAGAGGCAAGCCTCAGCAACTGAGTGACACTTGTCTTAAAAATAAAATAAAATAAAAAGGGCTGGAGATATAACTAGTGGTAGAGCACCCTTGGTCCAATTTTCAGTGCCACAAAAAAAAAAAAGAAAAAGTGTTTTATCATCAGTTTTTTCAAAACTTAACTCAAATATCACTTCTGTGAGAACTTTCTTGTGTACTCTATCTTGAAAGAACAACTGTTATTTATCCTGTTTACTATCTGATTGCCTATTAGAATTAGGTTATATAAAGGAATTTTTCAACTGAAAAACCAGTGTTTAATACATAGGAGATTCTCAATAAATATCTGTGAAATAAATGAATAAATAAAATCGTTTAGGAAGCCTGGTGTGGTGGCACACACCTGTAATCCCAGCAACTCGGGTCGCTGAGGCAGGAGGATAGCAAGTTCAAATCCAGCCTCAGCAAAAGTGAGGTGCCAAGCAACTCAGTGAGACCCTGCCTCTAAATAAAATACAAAAAAGGGTTGGGGGTGTGGCTCAGTGGCTGGGTGCTCCTGAGTTCAATCTCCAGTACCAAAATAAAATAGAATGAAACAAAATCATTCAGAAAACTAAAGCCAAACATGTTGGCTTTACCAATAACGGAAACATAGCTCTTATGATTGGGAATACTCTTTTGGTTTAAAAAAAAAAAACTCCCTCAGGGCTGGGGATGTGGCTCAAGTGGTATCGCGCATGCATGAGGCACTGGGTTCAATTTTCAGCACCACATAAAAATAAAATATATTGTGTCCACCTAAAACTAAAAAATATTTTTTTAAGGAAAAAACCTCCCTCCAAAGAAAAGTTTATTATAGGCCATAGAGTACCACATCAAAAAAACTTTAATATAATATTATGCACACAATTAACAATACTCTCTCTTAAGAGGATAGAGCTCATGGTTTTTACGATAATTAAAGCAAACAAAAAATATACCTTTGCTTGAAGTGTACAAGAGTGCTGACTGAAAAGAAACCAATTGAGTGTCAGTAAGACTTTCTTCTACTGACATCTGTACTGCATACCCAGCATCAGGATTGACATTGGGCAAAGAGAGTAAGTCTGTTGACCTAACGAAGAAGTTCCCATGGAAAGTATGAATGGAAAGACCTAAAAGAGAAAAAAAAATTATCAAGATGACTTTTATATATCTATATGTAGATATTTACATTTTATCCTAATCATTTATTAGACAGTAAAAAAGTTCAATACACAGTACTGAATGAGGTTGAGGAGTAATAAGTGTCATTGTTGCTGTCATCTTTTTTTTTTGTACTTGCTTTGAATCCAGCGGTGCTTAACTACTAAGCCACACCCTCAGCCCTTTTTATTTTTTATTTTGTGACAGGGTCTCATTAAGTTGCTGAGGGTCTTGCTAAATTGCTAAGGCTGGCCTTGAGCTCACTATTCTCCTGTCTCAGCTTCTTGAGTCACTGGGATTTACAAATATGTGCCACCACACTTCTTAAATTAGAGTGAGGATACAAATTTTCAAAAACTATTAGAGAACAATTTGGTAGTATTTATGAAAATTTTAAATGAATACTTATTTCAACTTTAGCAATCTCTTGTTTTTATTTGTCCTATAGACTCATTCAAGTGCCAAATTTCTATGTATAAAATAATTTTAAGGGGATATAGCTCAGTTGGTAGAGTGCTTGCCTTGCATGCACAAGGCCCTGGGTTCAATCTCCAGCACCACACACACACACACACAAAAAAAAAAAAAAAAAAACACCAAATAATTTTAAATAGACCGATGTGTAACAGCAAAAAAATTTTAAAATAGTTATGGGTAGGAAAATAAATAAAGTGTGATTTGTTCATTTTATTGAATACTGGAATGAGATAAGTTTTATATGAATTAAAATTTATGGATTTTTAAAAAAATATTTTTTGTTGTTGATGGAGCTTTATTTTATTTATTAGTATGTGGTGCTAAGGATCAAACCCAGTGCCTCACATATGCTAGGCAAGCACTCTTCCACTGAGCTAGAAAAAAATTAATGGATTTTTAAGATTTATTGAGTAAGCATCCACTCCAGCAACTTGAGAGGCTGAGGCTGGAGGATTGCAAGTTTGAGGCCAGCCTTGGCAACAAAGCAAAAAAAAAAAATATATATATATATATATGGTGGGGGGGCTGATAATGTAGCTCAATGGTAAAAAGCAATTGGTTTCAAACCCTAGTACTGCAAAACAAAAAAGAGTAAGTTTCTTGGCTGGGGTTGTGGCTCAGTGGTAGAGCGTTTGCCTAGCATATGTGAAGCACTGGGTTCAAGCCTCAGCCCACATATAAATAAATGATTAAAATAAAAGTCCATCAATATCTCAAAATAATTTAAAAAAAAAGAATAAGTTCCTTGGTAACAAATTCTTAAAAGAAACAATTAAAAAATTAAACCCTGAGTGAAAATATCTATTTATGCAAATACAACATGATACTTAAGTATTTAAATGTACAGAAAAGTGGAATATATACCAAAGTGGTTACAGTAACTAAAAACAGAGTGAAAATGTACCTCTGTGTGTGTGAGAGAGAGTGCACATGTGCATGTGTGTCCCCAAACACAATATAGGAGTTTAACTGTAGCAAAAATGTATTAATTTAATTTAATTTAATTTAATTTAATTTAATTATTTATTTTGTGGTGCTGGGGATCAAACTCAGGGCTTCTGAAAGAAAAACAAATGTATATCTTGCTTATGAAGTAAAAATCAACTTTAAAACAGCAATCAGAAAGAAAAAAAGAGTGTAGGTCTACATGTACATAGGCATCTAAGACCTGGTTAAAAACAAAAAAATAAACAAAAAACACATGCAGTGGTGTATTGCCTATAATCCAAGCAATTCAGAAGGCTGAGGCAGGAGGATCTCAAGCCAGCCTTGACAACTTATTGAGACCCTGTCTCAAAGAAAATTTTAAAAAGGGTTTGGGGGGCTTGGGATGTGGTTCAAGCGGTAGTGCATTCGCCTGGCATGCACAGGGCGCTGGGTTCGATCCTCAACACCACATAAAAATAAAAAATAAAGATAATGTGTCCACCTAAAACTAAAAAACAAATGAAAAAAAAAAAAAAAAAAAAAAGAGTTTGGGATGTAGCTTAGTAGTAGAGAATGCTTATCTAGCATTTGTGAGGCCCTGGGTTCAATCCCCAGTACCAAATAAATAAATAAGAAACTAAATAAGGTAACCACAAACTTTCTTAAATCCCTAGTAGCAATAAATAAATAAAATAAGAGAAACCTAAATAGGTTAACCACAAAGCTTTGTTAGATTAAACACTCTAGGAAGTGGGCAAAGGCTAGTTTATTGACATGTCCTCAGGCTGTTTGTGAAAAGTAAGGTACCACTGCACACAGTGGCACACACCTATACACCCGGCGACTTGGGAGGCTGAGGCAGAAGGATCATTAGCTCAAAGCCAGCCTAGCAACTTAGCAAGGCCCAGAGCAACTTAGTAGTGAAACCCTGTCTCAAAATAAAATATAAAAAGAGCTGGGGATGAAGTTCAGTGGTTAAACACTTCTGGGTTCAATCCCTAGTACAAAAAAAAAAAAAAAAAAAAAAAGGTACCTATAAATAGCAGCCAACTGGCCAACTACAACAAGTCATAAGCAATTTTAATATGTATTTCCCCTAATTAGGAACCAATATCTGTATAAATTAACACTTTGGAGGTCTGGCAATCTTCATGAATAGGATCCAACAACTGTATCCTTTGAAACAAGTAGGGCTAGGGATGTAATTCAGTAATATAACAGGCCCTGAGTTCAATCCCCAACTCTGAAGAAAAACCCTCAAAAACATAAATGCTGAAAAACTATTAAATAAAAATCAATTCAGCAAGGCTGAATTATTATAATGATGGGTAATAGAGAAGTTCATATAGACACAGATTTGAAAATAAATCGGATATGTTAGTAGATCCTTATCTTTTTTTCCCTACATGTCTCATACATTTTTTTCCACTTAAAAACATGATTGTCTTATTCCTGTTATACAGCAAAACATTGTTATATGAATAAAAAAGTAGAGCAGGTTAATAATATAGAGAAATGAGAAATCAAGAATTAGAGCACAAATTAAAAGATCTTCCACTTCTGGAGATGGGTAGTAGTAATGGTTGCACAATGAGAATGTATTCAATGCCACTGAACTGGGAGAGTGCTTGTCAGGAGTGCACAAGGCCCTGGGTTTGATCCCCAGCATTGCAAATAAACAAATAAAAGCAAAAATAAAAAAATGTTTAAAGTGGTAAATTTCATGTATATTTTACCATAATTTTTTAAATAAAAATAACTGTTTACTAAAAATAAAAAAAGTATGTGTGATGACATGCACCTGTAGTCCCAGCTACTCAGGAGGCTGAGGTAAGTTCAGGATCAGCCCAGGTAACATAGCAAGACCTGTCTCAAATAAACTTAAATAATTCACATAGTATAACATTCACCATTTTTTAAATTTTTAACATATTAACAAGGGTTCCTATATTTTAATAGTGTTTCTTCTCTCTCCTTAATTGCATATACTAAAGCCTGCAAAGTATCTTAGAATGGCAAATCCTATAAGAAAAAACTAAGTGAAAACTTGTATTTATTGGTATAAAAAAACAATATTTACTCCTATGTTTTTTTAAAAAGTATCCTCACCTTTAGTGCACCGAATCCTCATAACTGCCTCAAAGCCAATTTTCCGAGTGAGGTATCTCTGTAGTTCCTTCTGTAATTTCTGTACTTGGACTGGGTTGTGCTGGTGATGGTAAGAAGGATAGTAATAGACACTACCTGCTGAGTACCGAGAAATACACCCTGGAAGAAAACATACACATTTTTCAAATAGTGGCATTACCTGCTATTACTATGGTAAAATAAGTGCAGACATTTGATTCAATTTTCTCAAGTCAAACGAATATTCCATTCCGTAACTGTCAAAAATATTCTATTCCTCTAAATAGTAGTGTGGACATTTTTCTATTTCTCCTCTACTAAATTAGAGTACAAGACGACTATGAAGTTTATAGTAGATTAAATTGACTGTTAAACTGGGTATAATGGTGTGCACCTATAGTTCTGGCTATTTGTGAGGCTGAAGCATGAGGATCACTTAAATTCACAAGTTTAAGACCAACTTGAAGCTGGGTGCAGTGGCCCTCACCTATAATTCTAGCAGCTCAGGACGCTAAGGCTGCTGGATCACCAAGTTCAAAGCCAGCTTCAGCAACTTAGTGAGGCCCTAAGCAATTCAGCAAGACTCTGTCTCTAAATAAAATATAAAAAAGGGTTGGGGATATTGCTTAGTAGTTAAGCAGCCCTGGGTCCAATTCCTGGTAACACACACACACACACACACACACACACACACAGTAGTTAAGTGCCCCTGGATTCAATCCCTGGTACTAGGAAAAAAAAAAAAAAACAGCTTGGGCAAGAGCTCATTTCAAAAAAAGAAAAATCCACACCAAAACTGACTCTTCCAAAACTCTCTGGAAGGAATAAAAAAAAATTTATCGGGCTGGGGTTGTGGCTCAGTGGTAGCGCACTTGCCTGGCATGTATAAGGCACTGGGTTTGATCCTCAGCACCACATACAAATAAATAAAGATATTGTGTGTCCATCTTCAACTAAAAAAGATATTAAAATAAATAAATAAATAAATAAATCTATCTATGTATCTGTTTATTTATTTATTTATTTTTGGTGGTGCTGGAGATTGAACCCAGGACCTTGTGCATGCGAGGTAAGCACTCCACCAACTGGGCTATATCCCCAACTTGGGAATAAAAATTTTACTTTTGTCCTCTACCTAGAATACCACCATGCTACCTGGAAAGCTAAAGCAGGAGGATTGCAAGTGCTCAGGGGCACCTTACCACTGAGTTACATCCCCAGTTCTTTTTTTGTTTGTTTTGTTTTTGTTTTTATTTTGAGATAGGTTTTTGCTAAGTTGCTAAGGGTCTTGCTAAATGGCTGAGGCTAGCCTCGAACTTGTGCAGTGGTAGAGAACTTGCCTAGCATATGCAAGGCCCTGGGTTCAATCCCCAGTACTGGGGAAAAACAAAAACAAAAAACAATGAAATAAAATCATTTAAACACCATTTTGATACTCATTTAAGGGGGGGGGGGGGGAATCATCAGGAAACACTTACCCAGAGAAGCCAAATCAGAATATTGTCCACTGAGAAGGAACAAGTCAACAGCTATCTGCTGACCAGAACAGTCCAATGCTAATTTCTTATAGAAGTCAGTAGAAGGTGTCAGGTGTATTTCCTATGAATAAATTACAAAGAGGTTTTTTTTTTAAAAAAAAAAATCATTAAATTATCAAAAATGTAAATACACACCTACATATAGCAAGGTGTCAATAACAATTGTCTCTAGGGATTTTACATAATCTACAGTGCTTTTACTATTTGATTTTTTCATTAAGAATCAGGTACTGATTAAGAATTTTCTATGGGCTAGAAATGTAGCTCAGTGATATAGAACTTGACTAGGATGTGTGAGGCCCTGGGTTCGATCCTCAGCACCACATATAAGTAAATAAAATAAAGGTATTGTGTCCACCTACAACTAAAAAAATATATATTACAAAATACCTCTATCATATTAATTTTGTTAATAGGCAAAGATAGTCATTATTACCAAAATCTAGCAAATGCTCAGTATGTTGGGAATCATTCTAAATAATTCATATGCAATATCTATTTAGTCCTTATAACTACCCCAAGAAGTAGATACTATCAATATTTTCACTTTATATTTACAGAAACAAAGCAACAAAGAAATGAAGTAACTATTTAAGTTCACACATCTAAAGAGCAGTGGAATGTATAGGCAGTCTGACTCCAGGAGTAACTTCATAATCAATATATTATACTGACTTCTCATAATCTTTTGGGAAACACAGGTCTCAAGCCATTAAGTTTAGCTGGGAACAGTGGCACACACCTGTAATCTCAGCAACTCAGGAGGCTGAGACAGGAAGATCAAGAGTTCAAAGCCAGCCTCAGAAACTTAATGAGACCCTGTCTCTAAATAAAAATAAAAATGGGCTGGGAATGTAGCTCAGTGGTTAAGTGACACTGGGTTCAATCCCTGGGTGCCAAAAAACACAAAAACCCCTCAAACTGTAAGTTTGTACATATGAGGTACTCAAATGCAATCTGAGGCTGTCAATATACCAAGTTACAACCACTCCTAGCTGGTCATCCGGGTTTCCCTTTGTCCCTAGCAAGTACATTCACTCCACTTTTTTGGGGGGTTGGGGGCAGGTACCAGGTATTGAACCCAGGGGTGCTTAACCACTGAGCCTCATTCCTGGCCATTTTTTATGTTTTATTTTGAGACAGGGTCTCACTAATTTGTTTAGGGGCTTGCTAAATTGCTGGGGCTGGCTCTGAACTTAGAGATTCTCTTACCGCAGCCTCCCAGTTGCTGTGGTACTGGAGACTGAATCCAAAGGTGTTTTACCATTGATCTACATTCCCAATTCTTTTTATTTTACATTTGAGATAGGGTCAAGCTAAATTGCCAGGCTAGCCTCAAACTTGCAATTCTCCTTCCTCAGCCTCCCAACTCACTGAGACTATAGGCATGTACCACCATGCCCAGCTTAGCAAGTACTTTCTTTTAGTCTCCCAGACTTTCTCTTCAAAGCCAGGCTGGATGACTAGTGGTACTAAAGATATTAAAAATAAGGCATGGGGTGAATCAGGTAGAGAAAAATATAGTAAGGGTTTCATATAAAAGTGAAACCATTTACCTATTTCCTTATAATTCCTCCTCCTCACAACTGGAAATCTTCCCTGCCTCCTCCCGCTAAAAAAACCCCTATGGTCAAAGGGACAAAGCACCAGCATTAATCTTATCATACACTTGATAACTTTCTAACCTTAGCAGATGATTTTTGGTTGGGTTCCTCTCGTGGCTTCAGGGCTCCCACTCCAAGAGTTGGGAGCTGTGTTTGAAAGACGGACATTCGACCACCAGTTGGGGACATCAGCTTAAAGGCAGCCTGAAGTGCAGGACCCAAGGCACTCTGGGTCTCCAGAGTCTTGGTAAACATCTGTGGCAAAGTTTTCAGTAATTCTTGAACAAGCTTGTGAAGTAAATAAAGAAAACTCAAGAGTGTTACAATTAATTATTTTCATAATAAGTCAATATCTAATACAAAAGACAAAGACATTGAGTCATGATGATGATCAGAGAATCTACAGACACTACAGTAAACAATGAAGTTGGTCAAATGACAAGAAAGCCATTTTAAGTCAACATTATAAATTGGCAAGCAAGACATCAAAATTGGGGCCTTACAGTTCTTGCACATGCAATAGCCCAGCAAGACTATAAGTCCAAAATGTATCCAAAAGAACCATAAGTTTAGAAATTTGATTTATTTTCATGCCATGAAATATGGCTTTCTCTGTCGCCTCTACACTTTATTCTTTGAAGTTCCAACATGAGTTAATTCTTCCCTGTTGCAAAAATCCAGTAACTTTGCCAACCTTGTAATATCACTACAAAAGAAAAACAAAAATCAAAACCAACTACCTATTCAGGTTAGGTTGTACAAATAAAGAGAATAAATGGGGGAAAAATACTTTGCACCATGGCACAGTGACCACTGCCAACAGCAGAGACCATAGACTTGCTAGTTAAAATGTTACCCCTATGGCATATATGCATGTACAGGGTAGACAACATCCCCATTCAGACACATTCTGTTCACCTCTCAGTGTATTATGTCATGGCAATTTCCAGGCAGGTAATAAGAGTTTCTTCTGAACTGACCCCAATGACACTCTGTGAATCAGAAAAGCAAAGGGCACTGAGAGCAGCCTGGCTCGTGTGCTTCTGTGTAGTGACGAGAAGCTTTATCTCAGCAACCCTCCCAACTTCCCAAAGGGCTGGCAAGACATATTTCCTTCAGATGTTCCTCCTTTCTGGAACAGGCTTCTCATCTATCCTACTAAAATACCTTGTTGCATTAGACTTAAAAATGATTGGCATGAGATTGAACTTGAGAACTGTTCATTTAATGAACTTAAACTAAGAGCAAGCTAAGATGATACATAGCTTAGAAATGTCAAAGCAATAAGTAAAATTTTACTTAAAGTTCATTTAAAAAATATGCCTTCAAGATTGGGGTTGTAGCTCAGTGGTGAAGCACTTGCCTCAAGTGTGAGACACTATGTTTGATCTTAAAATTAAATAAATAAAATAAAGGTATTGTGTCCATGCACAACTAAGAAAAAATTTTTTTAAATATGCCTTCAATATTTCAATCAAACATGTTGTGTAGGAAAATGTATCTTACCTCTTTACTTTCATTTAAGTTTACTAATAAGTTCTCTGGCATAGGTATAAAAACATCTGAAAGAATAAGTAAATATTTATTTTAAACAAAATTAAACTGTTAAGAATGTTCCAAATATACAACACTGATGCAATTCACTACTTTATACTTAAAGAAAAGCCTGCTCCTTGACTTTATAGACTACACATGTCCAAAGAGCTACCAAAACAGCACTGACTTGGGTATTTACAGCAACTTTTCTTGTTATTTGATGACTAGTGAAGGTAAATGGCTTCCCAATTAGTAAACAGTGATCTGTAAGCACTCAGTAAGGGTTTGTGCAAGTGTTTTGTTTCCTAGGTTAAAGACAGCAACTCTTTTAAAGAATCTTGCTTTACTTTTTTTTATGGCTGACCCTGCAAACCAGCCAAAGATACTCTTTGCATTTGGAAAAAAAACAAAGAGGCAACACACAAAAATTTAACCTTTATACAGAATAACCGTCATTCCAAATACTGATACTTTTTCATAAAGAAGACCCACATCAATGCCTCAACTAATGAGACTACAAAACCAATTAGAAATGGGAGTTCATAATCCACTTGAATCAAATATATGAAATATGATATGTCAAGAGCTTTGTAATGTTTTGAACTAAAAAAAAAAATTAGAAAGAGTACTAATGTGGGGGCTGGGGTTGTGGCTCAGCTGTAGAGCACGTGTGAGACCCTGGGTTAGATCCTCAGCACCACATAAAAATAAATAAACAAAATAAAGATATTGTGCCCATGTATAACTAAAAAAATATTTTTTTAAAAAAAAGTGCTAATGTGACCACTTTAGGTGAGCCTCTCAACATTTACATTTATTCCTGCTTAGGAATTGAATTCCCTTCCTTAGATGAAGGAAAGCAAACTAGGAAAAGAAGATAGGTGTTGGTGAATTATGAGGAAAATCACTTCCTATGTTTCTATACTGCTTTTGCTAACAAAAAAATAAAGCTAATTATGAAGTTTGTGAAAAAAATACAATAAGTAACTTAAAATATTAACTGTTTTCTTTAGCTGTCACATGAAAATTCTACTGCCAACTGTTCAGTTTTTTTCCTTTTATTCTTTAAAAAATTCACCCTCATGAAAAGAAGAGGTCTGAACTGGGTATGGTGGCTCATACCTATAATCCTAACTACTCAGGAAGCTGAGGCAAGAGGATCACAAGTTTGAGGCCAGTTTGGGCAACTTGGTGTCTCCAAATCAAAAGTAAAAAGGGACTGGAATGTAGCTCAGTGGTAGAGCACTTGCCTAACATGTGCTAAGGCTCTAGGCTCAATCCTCAGCACCACATTAAAAAAAAATAAAAAATAAAAAAAGAGTATTCAGTGATTTTTTAATATACATATATTCACAGACTTTTCCACTACCATCATCATCTAATTCCAGATCTTTCTCATCATCTCAAAAAGAAACCCTGAAATCATGGTTACTTCCCATTACTACTTTCCCCAGGTTCCTGGCAACTAATGTACTTTCTTTTCCTATAGAGTTGCATATCCTGGACATTTTACATAAAGAGAGCCATACTGGACTGGGATTATAGCTCAGTGGTAAGTGCTTGCCTAGCACGTGGAGGCCCTGAATTCAATCGTCAGCACCACATGAAAAATAAATAAATAAATAAATAAAATGTATAGTGTTCATCTACAACCTTAAAAAAAGAAGAGAAAGAGAGAGAGAGAGAGAGAGAGAGAGAGCCATACTATAGGTACTCTTTTGTGACTGGCTTCATTCACTAAGAATTTTTTCAAAATTCATCCATATTAGTGCGCATCAGTACTTCATTCTTTTTTATTGCTGAATAATATTTCATCATAAGAAAAGACTATATCTGTTTATCTATTCATCAGATGATGGGCATATAGTTGTTTCCACTTTTGGTCATATTGCCCTGAACATTTATATATGAATTTCTATGGATATGCCTTCTGTTTTTTTGAGTATACACCCATTGAGTAGAACTGCTAAGTCATATGGTAACTTTAACTTGTGTATGATTCTGTGTCACTAGAGATTGAACCCAGCGGCACCCCACCACTGAGTCATATCCCCTTGGACCTTCTTTTTTTGTTGTTTTTGTGATGCTGGGGATTGAACTTGGAGTCTCAAGCATGCCCCCAGACCTTACTTATATTTGAAACAGGATCTTGCCAAGTTTCCCAGGCTGGCCTTGAATTTTTTATTCTTCTTGCCTCAGTGTCCCAAGTAACTGGGAATACAGGTGTGTGCCACTATGTTTGGCTTCTGTTTAACTTTTTGAGGAACTGCCGGACTGTTTTCCATAGTGGCTACACCGTTTCACATTCCCCTAACAGTATATGATTTTTCCAATTTTTGTTATTGTCCAAACATTTCATTTTGGCCACCAACTTGGTGTGAGTGACATCTCATTGCACTTTTAATTTGTATTTGCCTGATAACTAATGCTGTAGAGTACGTATCAAATCTGTCTATAGAAATTTTGGTGGGAAGTGCTGGGGATTGAACCCAGGGCTCTGGGCAAGCTAAGCATGCACACCACCAGAGCTATACCTCTATCCCTAAAATATTGAATACTGTATAATGAGAAATGTCTATTAAAATCCTTTACCCACTCATTCACTGGGCTATTTGTCTTTTTATTGTTAACTTATAGGAGTTCTTTAGGTAATCTAGATTTAAATTCTTTTTCAGATAGGATTTTTAAATATTTTCTCCACATAGTGGACTCATACCATACACTACTAATTTGCCAGGTCATGAATATTCCCAAAATAGAAAATTCCTTAGACAGTTCATTAAATTTGTGTATAACATATACCTTCAATATCTGAAACTATTAGCATCTGAGGTTGAGAGAGACCTTCTTGAAGACTGTAGAAATGAATTGTACTGTCAAATGTTATGAAGCCAATTTTTGTTCTAGTGTTGCCAGGAAGCCTAAAAACAAATTCAGAAGAGTGTTTTATAAAATACATAAAATATCTGCTAAATATTACATGCAAATATCTAATTTACGGAAACTGATCCAACATAAACAAATTTTTAAACCATCCAATGTTTACAACCATGAAAACATCCTCCTCAATGGAAAACATGACACACATAAGCCAAATAATCAGTGAAAAACAGGAATAACAGCAATCCAACTTCTAATATGAAGTTATAGAGCATTTACTTGCCTGGCCTGTACAAGCCCCGAGTTAAATCCAGCACTGGGGGTGGGGACGGGGGGTAAGAATGCTCCAAAAAAATAATCATATTGGACTGGGGATATAACTCAGTTGGTAGAATGCTTGTCTCACATGAACAAGGCCCTGGGTTCAATTCTTAGCACAACAAAAAAGTATATAAATAAATAAAATCATATAACAACTCTAAAATGTAATGTGAATGTAGGCAGTGCATCCTTAAAAAACTCTGCATGAATTTTATATGTTTTTTAAAAATATTTATTTTTTAGTTTTAAGTGGATATAATATCTTTACATAATATCTTTATTCTATTTATGTGGTGCTGAGAATTGAACCCAGTGCCTCAGACATGCTAGGTGAACACTCTACCACTGGGCTACAACCCCTGCCCCATGAATTTTATATTATTAAATGCATTTATTTAAAACAAAGAAGAGCAAAAGCATCTGTTTTAAAGGAACTGGTTTTTTGTTTTGTTTTGTTTTGTTTTTTGTACCGGGGATTGAACCACTGAGCCACATCACCAGCCCTATTTTGCATTTTATTTAGAGACAGGGTCTCACTAAGTTGCTCAGCACCTTGCTTTTGCTGAAATTGGCTTTGAACTCATGATCCTCCTGCCTCAGCCTCCCAGCAGCTGGGATTATAGGCATGTACAACCGTGCTGGGCTGGAACTGCTTTTTATTTTTTTATCTGGTATTGGTGATTGAACCCAGAGGCATTTTACCACCGAGTATATCCTTAGGCCTTTTTAAAATTTTGAGACAGGGTCTCACTAATTTGCTGAGGCTGGCCTCAAACTTGCAATACTTCTGTATTAGCCTCCCCAGTTGCTGCTGGGATCACAGGTGTGCACTTTTAAAGTGTGTACTCTTTTAAAGAACTCAGCTATATGAAACTGCATTTTTTTTTTTTTTAGTACCAGGGATTGAACCCAGAGGCACTTAACCACTGAGACACATCCTCAGCTCTTTTTATTTTTTTAATTTGAGAAAGAGGGCCTTGCTAAATTGCTGAGGCTGACTCTGATCTTCCTGCCTCAGCCTCCCAAACCATGGGGATTATAGGTGTGTGCCACCACATCTGGTGGAACAAAAGTTTCTTGAGGAAAAAGAAACTTCAATCTTATTGTTTATGCTTGTGGACTTTCATCAACACACAATTTGCATATATAATCTACAACAAAAAACTGGTAGAAATGATGCCATTTTCACTGAGTGATGAAGAGTGATGAAGATCTCATTTATGATGAGATCTGGTCTTCTGCCTCCCTCCATATAATATATTGAAGGGTCACATTAACTTGTATGGGCTATGTGTGTCTAGGCAACATTTAAAATACAGTTATTTTAAGAGACTTAAGAGTCATGATAACCAAATGCAATCTGCAAATACTATTTTATTTGGATATTTTGGGGGGAAGTACCAGGCCCTAAGGTACCATTGCGTTTCATCCCCAGTCCTTTTTATTTTTGAGAGAGGGTCTTGCAAAGTTGCTAAGGCTGGCCTCAAGTTTATGATCCTCCTGCCTTAGCCTCCAGAGTCGCTTGTATTACAGTTGTGCACCATCATGCCCAGCTACTATTTAGATTATTATACCAACAAACCCTCAGTTAAATGAGTTTTTTGAGAAAATGAGGAACAAAAAAAATGAATTGGGTATTAAATCATCTTACGGAATTACTGCTAATTTCGCTTGGTATGATACAAGAGCTAGGGTTAAAAGTCCTGAACTACTTACAGGTAAAAATTATATGCTGACTGAGGTTTGCCAAGGGAGAAAAAAGTGTGTGGGTAAAGGAGGAGGATTAGATGATACAAGAACAACAGAATGCTAAAGATGAGAAAGTTGAGAGATGGGCAGTTCATTCAATTATTATTCCTTCTTACTACAGATTTGAAAATAATGTTCTTAAGAAAAAGTGAGTACTGCCGGGTGCAGTAATCCCAGTGTCTTGGGAGGCTGAGGCAGGAGGATCACAAGTTTGAGGCCAGTCCGGAAACTTGGAAAGACCCTGTCTCAAAATAAAAAATGCAAAGGACAAAGACCATAGCAGTGATAGAAGAATCCCTGGGTTTAATCCCAGGTATTACCCCCCCCCAAAAAAAAACTAGTAATACCTAAGTGATTTAAATGAATTTTTAGAACATAAACTACATGACTTATTTTTGTATTTTGAAAACTAGTCATTCATTTTGCAAACACCATTAGTTTCAGATTTAAGCTGAAATGAGACACTTACAAATCCAGATTGTCTAACAAACTCTGGCAAACTGAATTCAAGTATCCAGTTTCAACTGCATTGTGAGACACATCAAAAACAAAGAGGTACACTGGAGGTTGTGGTGGTCGTAACTAAAGAAAAGAAGAATCTCATTAAATACATTTAATAGGATTAAATTTCAACTTATTTGTTGGGTTCACATACAGCAAAACCATAAAATATGCATTATTTACATACTAAGTGAAGATAACAGTAAAGTTACATCATAGTGTTTATAAATGCATACTTAAAGGAAAAATGAGCCTGTGATTGCCATATTTCAAGAGTATTTTCTCTAGGACAGAAAGGGGAAGAAATGTGATCAGAAGGGCTCATGGCAATATCAGTCATATTCAATTGCTTGACCTTTACAGTGTTATGCAGTACTAACAAAGGTATTTACTTATTAACCTGTATATTTACATTTTATTGACATTTCTATGTGAGCATATTTTGCAATTTAGGGAAATGATCGTTACGAAAGTGAAAAATCAAGTTAGCCTTGGCTGATTATTTAACCAACATTTTTAGGTTAAATCCCACAAAAATTTAAGACTCTGTATTTCATAAACTTACAAATCCAAAGACTTGTTTTCATTTCCTCTTTTATTTTAGGTGGGGAGGACTGGGGATTGAAGCCAGGGGCACTCTACCACTGAGCTATATCCCTAGCCCCTTTTTATTTTTTTATTTTGAGATAGGGTCTTACTAAGTTACCGAGGCTGGCCTCAAACTTGCAGTCCAGCTGCCTCAGCCTCCTCAGTAGCTGGAATTACAGAAATTTGCCACTACACCTGGCCAAAGATTTGTTTTCAATTAAAACAAACAAACAAACAAAAAAGCATCAAATAGCCACAATCACAACTGGGCATACAGTACACGACTTTTTATATATTTTTGCATATATCACTTGCCAAATTCATAAAACCTGTCATTCAAGAGGTAAGCCAGAAAAAAAAAAAAAAGGAGGTAAGAGGTAAGCCAGGAAAGAGTAAAAATCTTTTGCAATAGGCCAGTTTCCAAATTTAAAGGAAGCCATTTCGGCAAAACCTGGGTGATAAAAGGCACTTATAAAGCTCAATTCAAAAGAACAAATGCTTCTGCTCTTCTGACTTTAATTCACCAAAGAGACAGTCATTCTGCAGAAAGCATTACCAACCACCACCAAATCTTTTATCCATAGCAAGAAACTGACCTCTCATAAATTCCTCAGTATAATCAACCCAATTGCCAAGATAAAGACTATGCCACAAAAATATATTAAAATACTAGATTATTAAAGGTTGGTGATAATCTTCATATTCCCCTTTCCCTAAGGGTAATTATAGCATAGCAAAAGAAAAAAGAAATCAAAACACCTGAATTTTTTCCAACTACTGCCCAGTCACTTAATCTAAATTTATTTTCACATCTGTATAATAGGATTAACACCATTTCCCTACCTTAGAGTATTACTTGTGATGATAAAAATGTAAGTGCTCTATAAAATGTAAAGTGCTAAGCATTTGGCATAATTATCTTTAAAATACAAGGTCTCAGATACTTTCTGAAGAGTATAAAAGTACTTACAAGAGAATGTTCATCACAGCATTGTTTGTAAGAGAAAAAACTTGGGTGTGATCAAATATAAATAGGGTTCCTATATTATACCGCAAATTTCTTGATGAACATACAAAAAACTTCAGTGGAACTTTATATACACTTTTACTTTTCAAACTTATTCTTATCTACCAATTGCTTTTGTAATGAATAGTATACTTTCTGAATTTAAAAACATAAAATTTTATTAAAGAATACTACATATTTTAACTTAAAATCCAATATTATGAAATGTATACACTGTTTAAAAAAAACGAAAGCTTACCATGTATTCTGAAGGAGCCATAAACTCAATAGTAGCGTTTTGTACTTCAGGTCTCCTGTGAGGTTCTCCATAAACTCTTGTCAAAGGATTGTACATGAATTCTTCAGGTACTGTATAAAGTTAACAATGTTACTGAAAGGATTAATTTAATATACCTTGCATTTGGCCATTTTCTTAACTTAGGGGTTTAGAATTAATTCAATATAGTCTAAATATTAAGAATTAAACTCACTTGTTTGTTAATAAATTCACTTTTTAAAAAAAGTTCCATTCAAATTCCTCACATACCAAGTGGCACTAAATATCTCTTATTTTTACAACTATAGTCATTATGATTTTTCTTTTCCCATCTCTTGATATCCTCTCTGTCTTGATTTTTTACTAAAACTGCTTTCTGAAAATCAGTTGAAAACATAAGAAAAACTCTCATTAAACGTCAATTATTTTCCTAAATTTCAGTTATACAAGGATTAACATTTGACATATGAAAAGTATAGAATGGCTGGACCTGAAAAGCCATGGTAAAACCACTTCAGAGGTTAAAACCATAAGAGAGTGTACATTTTATTTATTATTAAGACATATAGAATATCAATTACCTATTACTTATATTAGTGCTCAGAATATTTTTAAAATTAATTATCACTGCACCTGTCTTCCCAGTAATTGTTTAGTAATTAAAATCCCTATGTACTCTAAAAGGTAAGCTATAATTTGTGAAATTGGCTTGCATACATATAAAAGAGGCTTCCACCTTTATCACAATTTCATTTTGTATATTAAAGCACATACCAATAAGATTATAAAGGTGCACTACACACTATACATACATTTTCTGAATTACTATATAGTAAAAGTTTTCTTAAGCTATCTTTATTTTCCTCTACTTTTAAAAAATACACAAACAATAAAACTGGTTTTATAAAATCTCTTATATTCCTCTATTTCTCAATTTTTAGTGAAATTTCCTTCCACTAAGTTACCGAGGCTGGCCTCAAACTTGCAGTCCAGCTGCCTCAGCCTCCTCAGTAACTGAAATTATAGAAATTTTCAATGTGAATACTGGCATATTGATTTTGTTCCCTAATCCTAATTGAATGTCATTGGTTAGATGATATTCTTCAAACATAAATTATAAAGAAGTTACTGAGAGAAATCTCTTCCTCCTCAATTATTGAGAAAACTACATTCAACTGACCTTCTAGCACTGCCCACCTCCCTTCACACAGCAGTGAATGAATTAGGCTGCTAGTCTGTGGACTTAGTTTCTTTCACCCTAGAGAAAAGGCATGGGACAATTTCTAAATAAAAATATTTCTTAAGTCACTGTCTTAATACCATGATATACCATTTATTATATGCCCAATATAATAAATGTAAAAAAGTGATCACAAAATAATATTATTACATTTTTTGCTAAAAAGTATATAATTATTTATATGTAAGTAAATTTGCATAGAAAAAAAATTAACAGTGGCTTTCTCTGAGTGGAAGGACTGATTATAGGTAAATAAAGGTAAATTCAAAGAATTGCTTTTATTTTTTTGAAATAGGATCTCACTATGGTGTCATTTCCTGCTGCCTCAGCTTCCCTAGTAGCTGGGATTACAGATTCTTTTTTTTTTTTTTTCCATTTCACATTTTTATTTATTATCTGATTTCCCTTCAATGCAAGTAGAAATTATAAAATGTTTCAAAAATCATACCATCATTGACCCGGTAACATAAGTTACACTTCCATCTTCTTTGATCAAGAAAGCTGACAAAAGGGTTAATGTATGTCCTGCATGAACGACATCTCACAATTGTACTGGAGGTAACCACAGGCAATTGCTGAAAAGACAAAACTAAGTTTGTAAAGGGAAAGATCCATTGTGTTAAAAGGGCAAGCATAAACCCATCTCTTCCAAAAAATTATTAGGACATTTTAATTGGGGGGGGGGGGGACAAGGAGAATATGTGTTCAAAATGCCACACATTTACAGCCAGAGGAATGGGAAGTTATGCTCCATTTGTGTACAATATATCGAAATTGTACATATATAACTGTCATATATAACTAATTAGAACTAATAAAAAAGAAAAAGAAAAAAATGCCATTCAAAAAAAATTTATGTAGCTAAATGTTCTGATTTTAAATCCTATTATTTTTCTCCAAGATCATTCTCATTAAAATTTGCCTTTTAAAAAAATTATTTTCTCAGGGTTGGGGTTGTAGCTCAGTAGTAGAGTGCTTGCCTAGCACGTGCAAGGCCTCAGGTTCGATCCTAAGTACCACATAAAATTAAATAAAGGTATTGTGTCCAACTACACTTAAAAAATAAGTATTTTTTAAAAAAATATTTTCTCAAAAACATTCACATTGCAAAACGAAAATACATTTACAATATATTTTTGGCATAGATGGCAAAGAAAATAGGAAAAATAGGAACAACATTCTGAAATAATGATCAATGAAATTATTCCCAGTTTTTGATGTTACATGAAGAGGGTTAAGTCTTAATTCTCACACAAGAACTGTCATAAAGTTAATTTGTATTTAAAGTTTATCCTACATATTAAAAGTTCTAGGGACTGGGGTTGTGGCTCAGCAGTACAGCGCCCACCTAGTGCATATTAGTCACTAGGTTCGCTCCTCAGCAACACATAAAAATAACTAAATAAAATAAAGGTATTGTGTCCACCTATAACTAAAAAAAAAAAAAAAAAAAAAAAGCTCTAGGGGCTGTTGCTGTAGCTCAGTGGCAGAGTGCTTGCCTTGCACATGTGAGGCACTGGGTTCAATCCTCAGCACAATATAAAAGCAAACAAATAAAATAAAGGCATGCTGTCCATCTACAACTACAATTTAAAAAAAAAAAAAAAAGTTCTAAAATCTTAATACCAAAAATCAACAAAGGGGGCTCAGTGGTAGGGTGCCTGCCTGGCTAGCACTGGTGGGGGGGATCAATAAAGGCAATAAAATCCTATTACCAAAAGGAAAGTCACCTCACTCACACTGATCTTCAAGTATGGCCATATGTTAAGGTCTCAAGAGTCTCAAGACATCAGTGGATCAACTCCTGCCCTTTCTAAAATTTTTTTATTTTATTTGAGAAAGGAGCAACTTCTTAAAACAACTAGTTTTGCTCTAAGAATGGCAGAATGAGGAAATGAAGGTAAAGTACTTTAATTGGTAAATAAGCTTATTTATGTTAGTACCTCTATTCTATTCAGCATCTGCTGAAATTTTTTTTCTGTTACTGAAGCCTGAACCCAAAGGCACTTTGCTTCTGAGCTACAACAGCTCTTTTTATTTTGAGATAGGGTCTCACTAAGCTGCTTAGGACCTCATTAAGTTCCTGAGGCTGGCTTTGAACTTGTGATCCTCCTGCCTCACTGGAATTATAGGCATGCACCTCCACTCCTGGCCTCTTGGATTTTTCAAAAATATACTTCTTTGACCTTGTTTTGAAAGTGTTTTGATAATAAAATTATTGGTTGGATTACAAATAAAGATTGGATTTCTCTGCCGCAGTCCGACTGCAGCAAGATAGCCAGGGGGTGACGAGCAACTTGTGTAGATTGATACAGCAGGAGTGGGAGCCGTTTATTGTAGGACCGGAGGGGTATATATACATTACACACAGCTTATCTTAATTAACATAAACTAGATACAGTAGTCAACCAATAAAGAATCTCCACACTTAATAGCTCGCTGGCGTTACTTCACAAACCACTCCCTCTGGCAAAATGCCAGGCGCCATCTTGACTTGTTTACAGACTCTAACATTTCTCAGAGGGAGAATGCTTGCCTCTCATGGCACTGGGTTCAATCCTCAGCACCACATAAAAATATAATAAAGATACTGTGTCCACCTATAACTAAAAAATTTTTTAAAAATTAAAAAAGAAAGAAATCCATCAGTGATCAAATTCCTAAAGATAGCTCAAATTCTATATATCATTCCCGAATTACTGTAGAAAATTTCTACCACTAAGATAATTTTCTATAAGACTTTTACTTTCACCAGAGAAACATACCACTAGATCTTTGAAAGGATGAAGCAGCAGACCCAAAGGAAGTTTGGCTTTATTCAGTAAGGCCTGAGTCTGAGGAATGCTGGTCAGTGTGCATCGAAATAACCTGCATCAAGGTAAAAAGCATATGTCAGTTGCTGCTATGATTATCCTGAAAGGAAAAAAGAAAAGTATTTAACAGGTACATATCTTAATATTAGATCAGATTACAAATAAAATATCTCAGTAGCCCCTCTCAATATTTTTTTTTTTTTTTGTACCGGGGATTGAACCCAGAGGCACTTAACCCCTAAGCCACATCTCCAGTCCTTTTTAACATTTTATTTAGAGACAGGGTCTCGATGAATTGCTTAGGCCCTCACTAAATTGCTGACTGGCTTCTGAACTTGTGATTCTCCTGCCTCAGTCCCCCAAGGCACTGGGATTAAAGGTGTGAGGCACCGTGCCTGGCAACCCTCTCTACTTTTATCCCATTAAAATATTTAAGTCTTAAGTTCTGTTCAGAAATAGAGTAGATGGTTACCCTGTATTATATAGCTAAAATATTGTCTCTTTTCTTGTTTTAGGTATAATATAGCCTCGACTATCAAATGACTTATTTTTATGTAAATCTAGATCACACTAGAATTAAAAGGTGATTACACACACTTATAAATGCACTTTATATTTTATTTATTTATTTTTGATACTGGGTATTGAAACCCAGGGCACTTTACTACTGAGCTACATCTTCAGTCCTTTGTATATTTTATTTTGAGACAGGGTCTCACCGAGCTTCTCAGAATTTCCTGATGTCTATAAGACTGGGATCATAGGCATGCACCTCCAGTGATACTCATGACTCAGTGCCTCAGCCTCCCAAATCACTGGAATTACAGATGCTTGACTGACCTTTTTTTTTTTTTTTTTGAGACAGGGTCTTGCTCTGTTGCCCAGTTGTCCAGGCTGGTTTGGAACTTCTGGGCTCAAGCAATCTTCCTGCCTCAGCTAGGACTATAGGTGCATGCTGCCATGCCTGAACAATTCATTCAATTTTGCTGAAGGTTGTAAAAAACTACTTCAAAATAGAAATAACAAATTTTGTAACAAAATTCAATTTCAGAGTCTTCACTACACACATTTAAACTTATGACAAATATTTAGGGAAAAAATTATAATTAGGTTTATAGTGAAATAAATTTAAAATGACAGCAAAAAAAGAACTATATAGACTCAAATAATTGTATTTGGGATGCATTACCAGAATGATAATGAAAAGCATAATCTTATCAGAGCTAATAGGAGCAGCAATCACTTCAAGAGTTACAACCCTAATTCTTAACTTAAAACATTTCAATCTCAAGTTTAAGTGAAAAAGTTTTATCTTCTATATTAGACCTCTTTCATAAACTAGTCTACTTATACAGCTTATTCATAAAACATGAAACTAAAAAATGTATTTTAAAAATTCTAGAAAATGTAGGACATTCATGATGTCACATATAATATGAAACAACACAATTTGAAACCCCTTACTCTGGGTTACAGTTGAGTTTCTGGATGTCTTCATGCAAATTTGGGACTGGAGGCTGCAAAGGTGTTGAGGGAAGCATATTTCTTTCTTGAAGAAGATTGATAACTCTTAGTCCCTCTGGATGTAGACTTAATCCACTCATGCTTGTAGTTAAATGATTAGCACCTAAGGGAGTCTACAGATATATAATTTAAAAGTAAGCAACTTTTGTTTTTCTCTTTCTAAAAGTAGTAAACTTGGTTCATTTCACTACATAATGAAAGTACAATCTACATTTCTACAAAATCTTGGTCAATTTTTTGGTTCTGGAGAAATGTGTAAGTATAAAGGTTTTATAAAGTATCCATTATTATTCTAACTGGTTATAAAAAATGTTAATACAACTTCCTAAAACTTTCTTCATGTATATACAGTTTAAACCAAAAGGTAGAAAATAGATTGGGGAAAAAAGGCAAAACTTTACCTGAGTAAAGGCCTGGGGGCCACTTGGATAATTCAATGAAGAAGGTGGGATTCCAGTTGCACTAGGTGGTGTTGTGTTCTGATAACCAGGTGGTAAAGAGGGATATGCATATCCAACACTTCGGCTCATTTTGGGATTCTTATTAATAAGCTGTGGTGTTGCTAGAAACAAGGTAACTTTTAAGTTCTATTTTATATTCCAGAATACTTTAACTCAACACATGGATCCATTAAATTATGGATTAAAATTACTCTAAACTCCTTTGGATTAATTTAATAACCTCATTTATCAATTGAAGACAAACACTAGTAACGAAGTAATAGCAATGATTACAATCTAGTTAATGTAGACTATAGCTATAAACACACACAAATAAGTTTGATATATTTAATTCACTTTCATGTCATGTAATAAATTTTGTATTCATATTACATTTTAATTTAAAAGAGCTTTAATGAAAACATCTTAGATGCTCGATTTATGGGACTGATTAAACAAATTTAGTTTATCTAACTGATAAAAATAAAATAATAGATATGGCTACATAACACAGTATAAATTTTTTTAACTTAATTTCCTATAATAAGCAAATATGACTTCTATAATCAGAAACAAGATTTTAAAAAAAGAAATTTTCATAGCATCTCACCCAAGAAGCCACCTCCTTCAATTTCATCATAACTACTATGGACCACCATAGATCCATTATTGGCATTTGATGTAATACCTAAGGAGCAAGTTCATTAATAAGATTTAAGTTAGAATGGGTATTATAATTTCTGCAAGATATGAACTAATATCTAAACTCTTAGATAACTTCCAAAAAAATAGTTTAAATCACTGCCTACCAAAAATATTGTCTTGGTAGCACACACCCATAATTCTAGCTACTGGGAGGCTGAGGCAGAAGGATATTGCAAGTTCAAAGCCAGCTGGGTCAACTTGGTGAGACCATGTCTCAAAATAAAAAATGAAGAGAGATAGGGATGTACTCAGAGGTAGAGTACTTGCCCTGTGTTAATGCCTAGTACTAGAAAGGAGAAAATGACATAAACAGATGTATTTCAAAAAGTCTGGTGTTAGAAGAGGAAGAGGAAAAGGAAAAGGAGGAAGAGAAAGAAGAGGAGGAGGAGGAGGAAAGAAGAGTAAAGAGGAAGAAGAAGAGGAAGGAGAGGGAAGAAGAGGAAGCAGACTACAACCTACAGACAACCAACAGATACCTGAAAAAATGTTAACATCACTAATCATCAAGGAAATGTGAATCAAAACTATGATGAATAAAGTTCAAGACCAGACTACTGGGCAATTCAGCAGACCCTGTCTCAAAATATATAAAAAAGGGCTGGGGATGTATCTCAGTGGTTCAGGGCCCCTGTGTTCAATCCCCAGTATTACACATACACAAAACAAAGACAAAAGTAATCCTGGGGTTGTGGTTCACAGGTAGAGTGCTGCCTAGCATGTGTGAGGCACTAGGTTTTATTCTTAGCACCACATAAAAATAAAGATATTGTGCCCACCTATAACTAAAAAATAAATATTTTTTAAAAAATAAATAAATAATCCTGGCAAGGATGTGGAAAAGGGTAACAGCTAGTGGAAATGTTAACCAGCACAGAAATTATGAGAAAGAGTATGGAAGTTCCTCAAAAAACTAAAAACAGAAATACTAAATGATTTTGACAGGGTTGGGGTTGTAGCTCAGTTGGGCTGAGATTGTAGCTCAGTGGTAGAGCGCTTGCCCTGCATACGTGAGGCACTGGGTTCGATCCTCGACACCACATAAAAATAAATAAATAAATAAAATAAAGATATTGTGCCCATCTACAACTAAAAAATATATTTAAAAAAAATCAGTATGGGGCTGGGGATGTGGCTCAAGCGGTAGCGTGCTCGCCTGGCATGCATGCGGCCCGGGTTCGATCCTCAGCACCACATACAAAGGTATTGTGTCCGCCGAAAACTAAAAAAATAAATAAATACTAAAATTCTCTCTCCCTCTCTCTCACTTTCTCTTTTAAAAAAAAAAAAATCAGCATGACAAAGAGATGCCTATACTCCCCCATTTATTGCAGCACTATAACACAAGAGCCATGATACAGAATCAATTAAGTGTCCATCAATGGATGAATGTATAAAGAAAATGTGTTAGTATATATGTGTGTGTGTGTGTGTGTGTATGCAATGAAATATTGCTCAGCCATACACACACCTGTCATTTGCAGCAACATGGATGAGCCTAGAGGATGTTATGCTAAGTAAAACAGCCTGGCAGTATGGAAAAACAAATAACACATGTTCTCTCTCTCTCTCTCTCTCTCTCTCTCTCTCTCTCACACACACACACACACACACACACACACACACACCCCATACACACGTATGTATGTATATGTATATTGAAAAAGTTGATCTCATGGAAATAAAGGAATTGTAGTTACCAGAGATTAGGAAGTGTAGGATGGTGGGAAGAGAAGGATTGGTTAAAGAATACAAAATAACAGTTAGATAGGAGAATTAAGGCAGGTTGCAGTGATACATACATGTAATCCCAGTTATTTGGGAGGCTGAAGATTGAGGATTTAAAGTTGGAGGCTATTCTAGGTAACTTAAGAGAGACCCTGTCTCAAAGCAAGAAAAAAAGGGCTGGAGATGTAGGTGCTTGCCTAGCATGTACAACGACCAAGGAAGGAAGGAAGGAAGAAAGGAAGGGAGGGAGGGAGAAAGAGAGGAAAGAGGGGGAAGAAAGGATTAATTTTTAGTGTTCTATAGAATAGTAGAGTGACTATAGTTAAAAATAATTTACTATTTCAAAATATCTTGGGCTAGGGATGTAGCCAGTAGTAGAGTGGTTGCCTAGCATGTGAGAAGCCCTGGGTTCAATTCCCAGTACTGCCCCAAACTATGTGTGTTATCAATGACAGACAGATACACACACACACACACACAAACAAACACACACACTCACACACACACAATGATTTAAAATGTTCTAAATACAAAGAAATGATAAGTGTTTGAGGCATTAGGTATACTAATTACCCTGATTTAATCATCCAGATTGTATATATGTATGGAAATATAATGCTGTGTCTGATAAATACGTACCATTATTATGTTTTTGATTTTGTTTTTTTGGTACCAGGGATTGAAACCAGGGGCACATAACCACTGAGACACACCCCCAGTCCCTTTTTAAAAAAAATTGTGTCATTTCATTTTTGCCTTTATTTATATATTTATTTATGTGGTCCTGAGGATTGAATCCAGTGCCTCACACGTGCTAAGCAAGCATTCTACCACTGAGTTACAACCCTAGCACCCCTCAGCCCAACTTTGCCTCAACCTCCCAAATCACTGGGATTACAGGCATGCACCATTGCACCTGGCTATGTATTGATTTTTGATAAGGTCAAATGTTGAAATAAATCTCAATAATGCAAGTATTAAAATATACAAACATTTCAAGATTCTTAAATAGACTTTCAGGGAAAGGAAATTTGAGTCTTTGGAAGTAGTATTTTTTCCTTTTTTTTTTTTTCCTTCTTTGTTCTGGGGATTGAACCAAGGGCTTCATACATGGTAAGTGCATATTCTACCACTGAGCTGCATCCCCAATTCCTGTAAGGACTCTTCTTTCATCTTAAACTGTGCCTGCCTTGAACACACAAGGCTCTGGGTTCAATCCCCAGCACCACAAAAAAAAAAAAAAAAAAAGAAAAAGAAAGAAAACTGCAGTGGGCTGTGGTTGTAGCTCAGTGGTAGAGCACTTGCCTGGCCCATGTGAGGCACTGGGTTCAATAATTAGCACCGCATAAAAATAAATAAATAAAATAAAGGCATTGTGTCCATCTACAACTAAAAAATATTTAAAAAGAAAGAAAGAAAGAAACCGCAGTAAAACTTTTAGTAAAAGCCTGGCAAGTGTGAGGCACTGGGTTTATAAATAAATAAATATATAAATAAATAAAGGTCTATCAACAACTAAAAAAAATCTTAAAAAAAAAAAAGCAAAATAAAAAACATAAAGCAAGTGAATTTTTCTTTGTTAAATATTTAAATACTTATTATAGCTTGATTTTCAAAGTTAGATTGCGGCAATCTATATTGTTACTCATGATTAACACCAACCTTATCCCTACTTATAATGCTTTAAAATACAATAATAATATTGATCATATTCAATATAAGGATATGAGCAAATGTTTTTACCCCTCTTCTCGTTTTTTTTTCTATTTCCATGTCTTAGGGCAATGGTTATATTTTTACTAAAATTAAATTCTTTTTTTTTTTCAAATATATTTTTAGTTGCTGATGGACCTTTATTTTTTATTTATTCATTTATATGTGGTGCTGAGAATCGAACCCAGTACCTCATGCATGCTGGATAAGCACTCTACCACTGAGCTACAATCCCAGCCCTAAAATTAAATTCTTACTTTACAAAATATTCTACTTAAATTAATGCTTAATTTCAAAGTTACATGTATTCACAAGATAATGTTTGAAAACATTTTACTTAAATAAAACTTCAAAATGCTTGTACATTTGACTTATTCTTTTTTTTTAAATTTTTATTATTTATTTACTATACTGGGGAATGAAACCCATTGAGTTCCTATCCCCATGCCTGCCTTTTTATTTTTAATTTTTTTTTTAGTTGTAGATGAACAGAATGCCTTTATTTTATTTATTTTTATATGTTCCTAAGGATTAAACCCAGCACCTCTCACATGCTAGACAAGCACTCTGCCACTGAGCTATAGCCCAAGCCCTGACTTTTATTCTAATAAATATTTATTAATATTTATAATAATATTGTTGATAAAAATATAATTATTTTTAAAAGATAGTTCTTTTGGGGGGGGGGCTACTGGGGGTTTAACTCAGGGGTGCTTAACTACTGAGCCATATCCCCAGTCTTTCCCCCCCCACCCACATTTTATTTACAGACAGGGTCTCACTGAGTTGCTAAGGCTGGCTTTGAACTCATAATCCCACTGCCTCTGTCTCCTGAGCCACTGGGATTACAGGCATTCGCCACCACATTAAAAGGATAGTGCTAACATCATACCCAGAAAAGCAGGACTTCTCCAATTTTTTTTTTTTTAAATCTACACAATAATAAAAAAAAAGGTAGAAGGGCTGAGGATATATCCCAAAGGTTAAGAATGAGTTCAGCATACCCAAGGTCCTGGGTTTAATCCCCAAAACACACACACACACACACACAAAGAGCTAAGAGAAATGATTCTGGTTCCCAAATGCTAATCCACAGTAATGGAAGTCTTGAGGAAATTTTTAAAACTATATATTCCTGAAGCCCATTCTAACCCAAACTGGATTTTCTTAAAAAATATGACTCTAATGCTCAAGATTCAGATAATATTCATTTTTTTTTTGTTCTAAGTCAAAACATTTGGAATTAAAATTGTTTTCTGATTTACTCACCTTCTTGGTTGACAGCTGAATTAAATGAAGACTGGGGTGCAGGTCTATGTGAATTCTGGAGCATGGGGTCCCTTACTGGAGGTGGACCTCTAGGTGGAGGGGGCCCACGAGGAGTTCCTGGTTGAAAAGTGGTAGGCAGAGGTGGATTCCTTAAGGGAAGTGATGAACCTTTGGAAACATTGGTTTTTTTCACATCATTTAAGAACTTAAGACAAAGGCCAAAAACAATCTTTACCAAAGCTGAACAACTTCCAAATTTACATTTTAATTATAAACCCCAACAAATTATTAGAAATACAGTAAACTTCCTAACTGTATGACTTCATGGTCTCATATGTATGCCTTACATATTTCCATCTCTATCCTACCATGTTTCTTATCTATCAGTTATTAAGTAATATAAAGAAATAAGTATCAAGAGGCTGGGGTTTTGGCTCAGCAGTAGAGCACTTTCCTGGCATGTGTGAGGTCCTGGGTTTGAATCTCAACACCACATACAAATAAATAAAATAAAGGTCCATCAACAACTTAAAAAAAAATCATTAAAAAAAAAAAAAAAAGAAAAATGGAGTTGGGGTTGTGGCTCAGTAGTAGAGCACTGACCTCGCACCTGTGAGGCCCTGAGTTCAATCCTCAGCATCACATAAAAATAAGTAAATAAAATAAGGGTACTGTTTCCAACTACAACTTAAAAAAAATACATTTTATATATATATATATATATATATATATATATATATATATATATATATATATATATAAAAGAAGTATCAAATCACTTCTAGAGTAGATTCAATGCCATGCTAATTGATTAATTCTTCATTAACTGATTACAGAGGTTTAAGCAGCCTTGTGAAATATTCTAATAGAAACTAACATAAATAAAATTCTATTAATTTTCTTACTAATTTCTAAATATTTTACTAATTTTGTTTGCAAATATAATCTGCTCAACTAACATCAACAAGTTGACAGCTTTCTAAAAATACAAATTAATAATTTGTAAACTAAGTTGTAACAATTTCCCAAGTTTTATTTAATTTTGCTTCGTTTTTAATTTCTGTGGTATTAGGGATGCGAACCCAGGGTGCTCCACTACTGAGCTACATCCCTAGTTCTATCTATCTATCTATCTATCTATCTATCTATCTATCTATCTATCTATCTATCCATTCATTCATTCATTAATTCATTTTTGGTACTGGGGGATTGAATTCAGGGGCACTTAACCACTGAGCCAGATCCTCAGTCCTTTTTTTAATATTTTGTTTAGAGACAGGGTCTCACTGAGTTGCTCAGGGCCTCATCAAGTTGCTGATGCTGGCTTTGAACTCACAATCTTCCTGCCTCAGCCTCCTGAGCCACTGGAATTAGAGGCGTTTGCCACCGCACCTGACTTTATTTTTTATTTTAAGGCAGGTTCTCAATTGTAAGGCTTCCCTCAAATTTTCAATCCTCCTGCCTCAACATTCCAAATTTCTGGGATTACAGGTGTGTAACACTATATCCAGCCTAATTTTGCCTTGTTTTGCTGGGATATAACTACTAAAGATGAGATTATAAATTTGTGCACTGTTCAGTGTTTACCAAATAATAAAGTTAGTTTACTTTCTATATTGGTTTAAATACTTTATAGATACAGCTGGGAGTGTTGTTGTGTGGTATAGCACTTGCATGTGCATGAGGCCCTAAGTTTGATCAATAGCACTACAAACACACGTGCGCCCTCGCATATATGTATATGATCATAAGCATTTTATCATATGTTAAAAACATATAGATTTCACCAGGCATAGTGGCTGATGCCTGTAATCAAGTGACTCAGGAGCCTGAGGCAGGAGGATTGCAAGTTCAAAGTCAACCTCAGCAACTTAGCACCCCTAGGTTCAATATATGATGTTTTGCCTAATACAGTGGTGCACGCCTATAATCCCAGCAACTCAGGAGCCTGAGGCAGGATCACAGGTTTGAGATCAGTCTCAACAACTTTACAAGACCCTCAGCAACTGAGACCCTATCTCAAAATGAAAGATAGCTGGGCACAGTGGTACAATATCCTGCACAGCTCAGGAAGCTGTGGCAGGAAGATAACAAGTTCAAAGCCAACTTCAGCAACTTAGCAAAACCCTAAGCAAGACCCTGTCTCTAAATAAAATATAAAAAAGCACTGGGGAGGGCTGGGGATGTGGCTCAAGCGGTAGCACGCTCGCCTGGCATGCGTGCGGCCTCGGGTTCGATCCTCAGCACCACATACAAACAAAGATGTTGTGTCTGCCGACAACCAAAAAATAAATATTAAAAAATTCGAAAAACAAAAAAAGCGCTGGGGATGTGGCTCAGTGGTTAAGTGTCCCCGGGTTCAATGCCCTGTACCAAAATGTGTGTGCATGCTTAAGGGTTTTTTTGAGCTAGATTTCATCATGTTACCCATGCTAGCCTTGAACTCCTAGACTCACTCAAGTTATCCTCCTGCCTTTACCTGTCAAATAGCTAGGACTGAAAGCATGTACCACGATGGCACCTGGCTTTTTTTTTTTTTAATTAAATAAATATTTTAAAGCTAGTTTACCTTCTGTAACGGTTTAAATATTGTTAGGAACATTCCTTAGGCTTAAAAATTGGTAAATTAGCCAGCTACAGTGCTATACGCACCTGTAGTCTCAGTTACTCAGGAGGCTAGGGCAGGAGGATCAGGAGTTGCAGGTGAGCCTGGGCAAATTAGCAAGACCCTGTCTTAAATAAGTAAATAAAATTTGGAAATGATTTAAGTTTATACACAAGCATTATGAAATACTGATATCCAATAGGTTTTAAAAGTACCCCTCAAACCAAGAATGACACAATATTTATCCTTGTATCAACCAGGATATCACTGCCCTAATTTTATCATTTTCTATTTGGGACATAAATCCTGACTCTATAAAAACTAGATGAGTTACTTTTTAAGGATATTCTATGTGATATCAAAGTTTCAAACCCACAACTATCTATTCTTTCAAGATAACCACATTACTTCGACCTCCCTTCTCATTGCCAAAGTCTACAAAGCAGATGAAACACCACTGGTATATTTTTCATTCCAGGACTTTTTAAAAAATTTGTTTGTAAGTAACATAGGCAATAAATTTTACTTATAGTATACAGTTAACTCTATATTTTATACAATTAAAGGAATAAATGCACCCAAATGCACAGGTGCAGTGGCGCACACCTGTAAGTAATCCCGACAAATCAGGTTGAGGTAAGAGGATCAAAATTTTGAGGTAGGTCTGGGGAACTTAGCAAGGCCCTTTCTCAAAATTAAAAGGGCTGGGGATGTGGTAGAGTACCCCTTAAATTCAATCCCCAGTACCAAAAAATAAAAAGCATCACTGTTAAATTCTCCAGGACCAAATTGAAAAATCATTATTATTCAAAAACCTTATAGCTCCCAAGAAGACTGATCTGCTTTTTGTTGGCAAAAGTGAAAACAAAGATTACAGAAATGAAACTCCCTTATCTAAGAAGCACCCACATATATCTATGGCACAAAGGGGCAAGGTACACTACCAACTCAGCATGAACAAGAATGCATGATACATCTGACCACAAAGATATAACAACCTAATGATTAACAAAATACAAGTAAGCTTATAGAGTTTTTACAACTTTTAGAAGAATATTTTGAACTTGGGACATGCTACATTTCATATAATAGACTTTTTGTAGAAGCTGGAAAATTTTTTTTCTTTTTCTGCAGTGCTGGGGATTGAACCCAGGCCTCACACATGCTAAGCAATCATCTAGTTGAATAATTCTTATTTATAACAGTAGAGTTTAAGAATCAGGCCAATTAATGTAAAGATGCTAAAAGGCAGCCTATTAGGAAAAGTCAGAAAATTTAGTATGAGGATTAGAAAATAGCATAACTTATATACTCAGTTTTGTTTTGTTTTTTGTTATTGTACTGGGGATTGAAATCAGGGGCATTTGACCACTGAGCCATATCCCCAGCCCTATTTTGTATGGGTCTCACACAGTTGATTAGCACCTCACTTCTGCTAAGCCTGGCTTTGAACTCACAATCCTCCTGCTTCAGGCTCCCAAGAATACTCAACAGTTTTTGATATCAGACTATCAGGTATCTATTATCAAGTATGTGTTGAAAAAAACAAGTGAAAAGCATGGATTTTCTTCTTTTTTTTTTTTTTAGACAACTTGAAAAGCATTGATTTTCTTCTTCTTTTTTTTTTAGACATCTCATAAGAAAAAAACAAGAGGAATCATACATTTAGGTTCATTTTAAGATTATACATCTTTCTTTTCCCTTCTTTTATGTGGAAATGTTCATAAGTTTCAGCACTTATATGTCTCTCTCATTACATCTATGCTGCAATCTAAATGATCTACCTGAGGGCTTCTGTTAAAGCCAAAGTAATTTCAGATTATTGATCATATGCCTTTTTAAAAGATACATCATCTGAGTGTGATGATGCATGCCTATAATCCTAGATGCTCAGGAGGCTGAGGCAGGAGGACTGCAAGTTCTAAACCAGCCCCCAAAACTCAGTGAGACCCTATCTCTAAATAAAAAATAAAATGGGCAGGGGACGTAGCTCAGTGATTAAGTGCCCCTGGATTCAATCCTTGGTACCAAAAGAAAAAAAAGACACACCTACCCTTAAATATATCCCCCCCCCACCCCACCCAGAGTCCCATTTCACTACGTTGCCAAGGCTGGCCCAAAACTACTGGGTTGAAGCAATGTTCCTTCCTCAGCCTCCCAAGTAGCTAGGAAGCTGGGGGAAATAGTTTTTACATAGTATGTTTTCCCAAACTATTTTCTTGTGACTTTGGGCAAACTTTGAAACTTCATATTTGTTAGCTATAAGAGACTACGGTGAAGATTAAATAAGATATCATGTATAACTAATTAGAACAAGTAAAAATATATATATATTCTAAAAAACAAAAAGATTAAATAAGATAATGCATAACAGTTTGATAAAGTGCTAGACAATATTATAAATGTTCAATAAATGTTACCTATCATTATTAAAAATAAAACAAATATGCTGGATTCGGTGATGCACACCTTTAATCCCAACCATTCAGAGGCTAAAGCAGGAGGATCACAAGTTCCAAAGTGAGCCTCAGCAACTTAGCAAGACCCTGTCTCAAAATAAAAAATAGAAAAGGCTGGGAATTTAGCTCAGTAGGATAAAGCACCCCTGGTATTGCCCTCCCCAAAAGAATATGCATTAATTCAAGAGACAGATGCTCACACATGGTGTCAACTGAACCAGAGGTAAAAGTAATCTAATGGATTTTGGGCTACCAGTTGTGAGTCAGAAAATTTCCACAGAGAGATGAGGGTTCACTGGCAGAGGATATGCTCAGCAAGGGGAAGGTTAAGGTTCAATCTCCAAAATCCTCTGCCCACCCAATTTATATCAAGAAACGAAGTTTCTAAAAGATTCCTTAATCTTGGGCTGGAGTTACAGCTCAGTGGTAGAGCACTTGCCTAGATAGCATGTATGAGGCACTGGGTTTGATCCTCAGCACCACATAAAAATAAATAAAATAAAGGTATTGTGTCCATTTATTTAGAAAAAAAAAATTTTTTTTCTAAATAAAAAGAATACTTAAATCTTTACAAGGCCAAAATGTATTCACTAGGGCCAGTGGCTGGTCAGAGGCTTAAAAAGTATTAACAAGCTACAAAACTGATGGAGTGTACACCATAAATAAGAAATACATGAATTTTTTTTAAAAGGTTAACTATTCATATTAACTATTTCACTTGGAACTTGTTACTTGTTCACTTTCTTGAAAAGTGCAAAATCAATCTGCAGATCCCAATATGGAATTTTAAACACTTTTCAAAGTAACACTATTAATGTTGATAAATTTCTAAGATTCTGATCATCTGAAAAGCAAAAACACAAAGGTGAAATGGTTTTTAAAGCTACTTCTGAACCAGAAGTAGCTTACAAAATACAATGATGGGGAGAGGTGGTGGCTGGAGTAGTGGCTCAGTGGCAGATCACTTGCCTGGCATGCGTGAGGCACTGGATTCAATACTCAGCACCACATATAAATAAATAAAATAAAGGTCCACTGACAACTAAAAAATATTTTAAAAAAATACAATGATTGGGCTGGGGGTATAGCTCAGTTGGTAGAGTGCTTGCCTTGCATGTAGAAGGCCCTGAGTTCAATAACCAGCACCCCCTCCCCCCAAAAAAACAATGATCATCCAGTCCAAGAATATATGGTTTTTCTCTCCCAAAATGATATACAGATTCAATTCAACATCAAAAACAAAACCCTAGGTATCTTTTCTACAAAACTTAACAAGCTGATTCTAAAAATCTTAAGAAAATACAAGGAAACCAGAAAAGCCAAAATAATCCTGAAAGCAAGAGTTAGAGAAGTAAAGCTTCATGAATTCAAAGTTACTACAAAATCAATAGCAATCAAGATATATGGAGGGGAGGGGTTGGGGTTGTGGCTCAACGGTAGCGCACTTGCCTAGCATGCGTGAGGCACTGGGTTTGATTCTCAGCACCACATACAAATAAGTGAAAATAAAAGCCCATCAACAATTAAAAAATTTTTTTAAAAACATATATGGGGGGGGGGGGGCTTCATGATAAAGGATTTACTTAGCAAACAAAAGGGTCTGGGTTTGATCCCCAGTACTACCACCACCACCACACACACACACACACACACACACACACACACACCAAAGAAAGTAACTCAAGTAAGAAATGCAGTGGAAAAAAAAATATTTGGTAAATATAATAAAAATATATTTGGTAATATAATAAAAACACACATACAGATCAATGAAATAAAATTGGGATTCCAGAAATAAACCCTTAACTTATGATTAATTGAATTTTAACAAAGGTACTAACAATAGACTAGTATTTCCATTAGATAGTGCTGAGACAAAGGCACAGATAGCCACATGCAAAAAAATGAAACTGAACCCCTACCTATCAACATACACAAAAATTAAAATTAACCAAAGACCTAAACATAAGAGCTGAAATTATAAAACTTTCAGAAGAAAACATACATATAAATTTCTGCCCATTGCACTAAGCACTAACCACAGCTGTGCTCAGTAACACTCCTCACTCCAAAAGCATTCTCAGTTGGACATGGTGGCATATGCCTGTAATTCCAGAGACTCAGGAGGCTATATGCAATTTAGCAAGACCCTGTCTCAAAAGAAAAATTATAAAGGGATGGAGATATAGTTCAGTGATAAAGTGTACCTGTGTTCAAAGCCCAGTACTCCCCCCACAAAAAAAAAAAAAGCACTGTCTTTAGACCTGTCCCTTCACAACTCCACAGTTCTGCAAATTTGAAGTCAAAAACTGCCTGCAGCCATGCCAAAAAGTAATGTAAGCCTCAGATTAGGATCAAAGAGAAACCATAACAATTCGGCATCCCTAGACAGTAAGGTAGAAACCAGTTAATAAAAGTAATGGTGAGGGGCTGGGGTTGTGGCTCAGTGGGAGAGCACTTGCCTAGCACATGTGAGGCCCTGGGTTTGATCCTCAGCACCACATTAAAAAATGAATAAACAAATAAAGGTATTGTGTCCATCTACAACTAAAAAATATTTAAAAAAAAAAAGTGGTGGCAAGTTTAAAGCCAACCTCGGCAATTTAGTGAGGCCATACATAAGCAACTCAGTGAGACCCTCTCTCTAAATAAAAATTTAAAAGGGCTGGGGATGTGGCTCAGTGGTTAACTGCCCTTTGGTTCAATCCCCAGGACAAAAAAAAAAAAAAAAAAAAATACAAGCAACAATAAATGTTGGCAAGAACGTGGGGAAAAAGGTACACTCACACATTCCTGGTGGGACTGCAAATTGGTACAACCACTACGGAAAGCCATATGGAGATTCCTCAAAACTTGGAATGGAACCACCATTTGACCCAATTATCCCACTCCTTGGTATAAACCAAGGACTTAAAATCAGCATACTTACAGTGATGCCACCACATCAATGTTTAAAGCAGCTCAATTCACAATAGCTAAGTTTAATGGAACCAACCTAAGTGCCCTTCAACAGATGAATGGATAAAGAAAATGTGGTATACATACACAATAGAATATTACTCAGCCTTAAAGAAGAATAAAACATGGCATTTGCAATTAAACGGATGGAGCTACAGAATATTATGCTAAGTGAAATAAGCCAAACCCAAAACACCAAAGGCCAAATGTTTTTTCTGATACATGGATGCTAATTTACAATAAGGGGAGGGGGCACTAGGGAAGAACAGAAATACTTTGGATTAGATAGAGGGGAATGAAAAGAGGGGAGCAGGTATGGGAGTAGAAAAAATATGTAGAATGAATCAAATATTATTCCCCTATGTGCATATATGATTACATAACAGGTATAACTCTATATCATGTACAACCAAAAGAATAAGAAGTTATACTCCATAAATGCATTCTACTGTCATGTATAACTAATTAGAACAAAAAAGAAAAGAAAAAAAAAAGCACATTTTACTGTTGTGTATAACTAAAAAGAATTAAAAAAAAAAAAAAAAAAAAAAAAAAGCCAAAAGTAGTGGCCAGTCCCTGAGGAAGTAGTTCTGCAAATATCACAAGTGACTCAAAGAAAAACAGCCTGTAGCTATTCAGAGGCTGAGGGAGGATTGCTTGAGCTCAGGAGTTCAAGGCCAGCCTGAGCAACATAGTAAGACCCCATCACAAGAAAGGAAGAAAGGAAGAAAGAAAAAGAATACCTTCAAAGGAAAGAAGCAAAGCAGAAATAATTCCTTAATTTAAGTTACTGAGTTAATTCAAAGATATTACAAGTAATTTACTTAAAGATTTATAATAATTTTTTAAACCAACAATTTTCCATGTGGTTTTAAGGCTTTAAGTATTCATTCAAATCTCTAAACAAGCAAAAGTTGTTTATTTCTACATTTTTAACATTCCTAATAATACTACCTGATTTTATGAAGCTGTTTTGAAGTGAAGGGTCTCCAGAAGAAACATATTGATGATTTGTTGTTAAGTTTGTACTCCCCAATGCAGTCGGTTGGGATAATGCACCAGGATAATGGTTTGTCTGTGATCCTGTGGGCGGATAGTTATATTGCCAATTTGAATGTGGTGGTATGTTGGCTCCAGGAAGAAAGCTACCAGAAGGCATCGGTGCAGCAGCTGGATTCTGAGAAGCAGGTAGTGGCATTCGAGGAACAGGACCACTATGGAGTGAAGGTGTCACTGTATTAGAAGCTACAGGTGGTCTATTAATAGTTTGCCCAGATCCCTGAGAACCACCGTAGTTAGACTGTCCAGAGACTGGATTCAAAGTCTTTGCTGGTATTAGATGAGGATAGGATCCTGGAAGCTGGAAATTATATCCTTGACTCACTGACAATTGTGAAGACATCAGTGCATTTTGAACAGGACCTTCCAATAAGAAGAGAAGGAAAAATTAGTCTTTCAAGTGAATATAACAACACTTTAAAAAAATACAGTAGCCCCAGGCCCAGTATTGCACACCTGCAACTTGGGAGGCAAAGCTAGGAGGATTGCCAAATTCAAGGTCAGCCGCAGCAACTTGAACAAGGGTCTAAGCAATTTAGCGAGATCCCGTCTCAAAAAATAAAAAGGGCTGGGGATGTGGCTCAGTGGTTAAGTGACCATGTGTTCAATTCCCAGTACAAAAACTTAAAATTAAAATAAAAAATAAGTAGTCCCAAGAGTGGTAGTGCCTGGCTGTAATCCCAGTTGCTCTGAAGGCTGAGGCAGGAAGATCACAAGTTGGAGACCAGCCTGAGCAATTCAGTGAGAACCTGTCTCAAAATTTTATTTATTTATTTTTTTTTGTCTTTTTTTTTTAATATTTATTTATTTTTTGGCGGACACAACATCTTTGTTTGTATGTGGTGCTGAGGATCGAACCCGGGCTGCACGCATGCCAGGCGAGCACGCTACCGCTTGAGCCACATCTCCAGCCCTGTCTCAAAATTTAAAAAAAAAAATTTAAAAAAATAAAAATTGGGGTAGGGATATAGCTGAGTGGTAGAGGCACTCCTGGGTTCAATCCCTAGTATGGCAAAAATATTATTAAAATTTTTCAAAATAGGCATATAATTCAAAGAAGATATACAAATGGCTAATAAGCACATGCAAAGACACTGAACATTATTAATCATTAGAGAAATACAAATATCAGTCATTAAATAAACACAAAGCAAAACGACAACAAGGTACCACTCACTATCATCTAGAATGTTTAAAACAGACCAACAAAAAGGGAAAAAAACAGCCGGAGCACAGTAACACATGCCTGTAATCCCAGCAGCTCGGGAGGCAAGAAGATCGCTAGTTCAAAGCCAGCCTCAGCAAAAGCTTAGTGCCTAAACTCAGTGACACCATGTCTCTATATTAAAAAAATACATAAAATAGAGCCAGGCGTGGTGGCACATACCTATAATCCCAAAGGCTCAGAAAGCTGAGACAGGAGGATCTCGAGTTCAAAGCAGCCTCAGCAAAAGCAAGGCACTAAGCAACTCAGTGAGACCCTGTCTCTAAATAAAATACAAAATCAGGCTGGGGATATGGCTCAGTGGTTGAGTGCCTTTGAGTTCAATCCCCAGTACCAAAAAAAAAAAAAACATAAAAAATAGGGCTGAGGATGTGCCTCAATGGTTGAGTGACCTTGAGTTCAATGGTAATTTTTTTTTATTTTATCGGTTCTTCTCATATATGACAGTAGAATCCATTTTGATAAAATTATACAATACAAGCATGGGATAGATCTTATTCTAATCAGAATCCCATGGTGGGATTCACTTAGGTATTTTAATATGTGTACATAGGAAAATTATGATAGACTTATTCTACAGTCTTTCCTATTCCTATCCCTGTATCAACACCAAATTTCATCTTCATCCAGAATTATATGAATAACCATCTAGTTGGTTTTCTGACTTGAATTCCTGGTAGTTACAATAGATTAAGAAATAATCCCACCCTAAAATCTTGGTATTCTTTGGCTTGCTATGACCAAGATTTCCTGTATAAATAGATGCCATCAGAGTCAAATCCTTTTAGTTAAGTGTTCATTCTTGAGCAAAATATTTTACCTTTTGTACTGAGTATAGAGTCACACATTAATAATTCCAGTACTCAGAGGGCTGTGAAGAGGATATCTGGAGTCCAGCCTGGACAACATACCAAAACCAACAACAACAAAAAGAGAATTGCAAGCTTGAGCTTTGGGTTGATGTCCAGCACCAAGATATTTAACTTCTCTGTACCTCAGTTTCCTTATCTATAAAATGGGAAAAGTAATAGGATCACACTTATTGTGTATTTTAAGTGGAAACAACTCACATAGAAGTCCATTTCCTAATCCCTGGAATTGTGTTAGGTTACATGACAAAGAAGAATAAGGCTGAAAATGCAATTTAGGTTGCTAATCAACTGACCTTAAAATGGGATAATTGGGGCGGGCTGGGGTTGTGGCTCAGCCGTAGAGTGTTTGCTTGCCTAGCACGTGCAAGTTGCTGGGTTAGGTGCAAGGCGCTGGGTTCGATCCTCAGTACCACATAAAAATAAATAAATAAAATGGGATGACTGGGGCTGAGATTGTGGCTCAGCGGTAGAGTGCTTGCCTAGCAGGTGTGAGGCCCTGGGTTCAATCCTCAGCACCACATAAAAATAAATAAATAAAAATAAGCATTGTGCCAACTACAACTAAAAAATAAATATTTAAAAAATGGGATTATTATTAGGATATATCTAATGTAATCACAAGGGTGAAAGAAGGAGGCAAGAGAGTCAGTGTCAGAGTGATGCTATGTGAGACCCACCAAGCCCACTGTTGGCTTTGCAGATGGAAGAAGACTACCAGCCAAGGACTGTTGGAGAAGAGCCTCCAGAAGATAGAAAAAGGCAAGAAAACAGATTCTCTCACAGAAGCTACAGAAAGGATTACAGCCCTAAAAACACCTTGATATTAACTCAGTGAGACCAAAGTCAGACTTCTGACCTCTAGAACTTAATTTTGTGTTGGTTGAAGACACTAAATTCGTGGTAATTTGTTAAAGCAGTAACAGAAAACCGATAAAATGTGAGAATGAGATTTATGTGAAACATTTATAACAGTGTTTTTCGTATAGTTAGCACTTTTTATTATTAATTTTTTTTTTCAGTATCAGAGATCAAACCCAGGGGCACTTTACCCCACATCTACATCCCCAGTCATTTTTATTTTTTACTTTGAGATAGGGTCTCACAGAGTTACCCAGGCTGGCCTTGAATTTTCAGTCTTCCTACTCAACCTTCCAAATTGCTGGGATTATAGGCATGTGTCACTAAGTAAGGCTAATTAGCATTCTTGAAATGTTCTCTACTGGCATTATCCAAAAAAAACCCCATATATTTGTGTCCTGAACACTGCAGCAAAATTATAAATCTGATATTAGTAAAGCAAATTATTTGAACTAATCTTTTTTTTCTTGTCTGTCATCTGTTAAAGAACAGCTCTATTAATTAAGAACATTCTTAGGATGCAAAGGTGAATAAGGTCCATTTCATCCCTGTACTCCTCCGATAGCTCAGTCTAGATTGGCAAATACCAGGCACTCCAATAGAGAGTGATATGATAGGGGAACCCTGTGACACTGACAGCCCCAAAGTAGGCAACACTTGGGCTAGACTAAAGACAGAAAGGTAGCAAAGACGGTTTCCCGAGGAAGGGAATTTTAAGCTAAAACCTGAGAAGGCTGGGGTGTAGTTCAGTGATACAGAATGTGCATAGCATGTGCTAGGCCCTGTATTTCATCCCCAATACAAAACAAACAAGCCCGAAAAATAAAGAATAGCCTCAGGAAAAAGAGTATATTACCAAAAAAAAAAAAAAAAAAAAGTGTTTCAGTAAGGCTGGGGTTGTGGCTCAGTGGTACAGCACTTGCCTAGCACGTGTGTGGCCCTGGGTTCAATCCTGAGCACCCATATAAATAAAAACAAAATAAAGGTATTGTGTCCACCTACAACTAAAAAACTATTAAAAAAAAAAAAAGTGTTCCTGTAAACCAGGCATGGTGACACATGCCTGTATTCCCAGCGGTTTGGGAGGCTGAGGCAGAAGGATTGCAAGGTCAAAACTAGCCTCAGCAATTTAGCAAGGCCCTAAGCAAATTAGTGAAACCCTATATTAATATTTAAAAATAAAAATAAAAAGGACTGGGAATGTGGCTCAGTGGTAAAGTGACTCTGGATTCAATCTCTGGTACCAAAAAAGGGAAAAAAAAAAAAAAAAGTGTTCCTGTAAAGGAATTTATATTTACAACAGCTTGTGATGGTGGAAAGGCATTCTGAAAACAGCTCAGTATGACAAGAGCAAATTGTTGAGACACTTGCCTGAAGTGAAGCAGGAATTGAGGACTACACTAAAGAAGTATGGATTTGATAAAGAAGTTCAAGTATGGTGGCACATACTTGAACCTAAGAAGTTATAGGAAAAAATTTTTCTCTCTGCAACTGAAAACAATATTCATTTTTTAAAAGGAAGACAAATAACCAGGGAATGATGGGGCTGATGTGTATTTTAAGTAGAAATGATTCACATGGAAGTCCATGTCCTAATTCCTGGAATCAGGTTACATGACAAAGGGGAATTCTGGTTTCTAATCAAATGACCTTGAAATGGGAAGATTATCAGGATGTATCCAGTGTTATCATGAGTGTGAAAGAGAGCTGAAGGAATAGCCCCAAAGCAGAGCACTTACCGAACCTGTGCTAGAGTGGTAGAGTAAGGTGATTAATATGTGCTAGACCCTGGGTTTGATCCCCAGCAACAAACAAACAAATAAGCCTTAAGGAAAAAGAGCTGGTCAGGCATGGTGGCACACAGCTGTTTGAGAGGCTGAGGCAGGAGAAACATGAGTTCAAAGCCAGCCTCAGCAAAATTGACGCGCTAAGCAACCCAATGAGACCCTGTCTATAAATAAAATACAAAATAGGACTTGGGGATGTGGCTCAGTGGTTGAGTGCCCCTAAGTTCAATCCCCAGTACAGAAAGAAAGGAAAAAAAAAAAAGAAAGAAAACACTTAGGAAAATGAATATCAAAGACTGGGTTCAAGCCAAAAAAGTAAATAAAAAGAAAAATAGTGAGTGACCAGGATAGCACCCAACCAGAGTTCCATCATAAAACTAAACAATCCAATCAACTTTGGCTTCAGATAAACTATCATATTATTGAGTGTCTTAAAACTGAACTGTATTTTTCCCATATTTTTATTGGTGCATTATAATTATACATAATGGTGGGACTGGTTGATACATATTCATACATACACACAATATAAGGATATAATTTGGCCAATATCATTCCTCAGTATTTCCCTTTCTCTCCCCCTGGTTTCCTTTGATTTTACTGGTCTCCCTTTGATTTTCA